ACGTTAGCAACACTACAGGCTGTAAACGCCCCCTAACAGAAACTGTTTGTGCCAATTAATTTTGAAAGCAACGGTCAATGTGCAAACTCCACGAGATGTAGCAGTTGGCTGACCAATGGTGGAACTTTATCACCCAGTCAGTCACAGACATTCACATTTATAGGGCTGGCCCTGATGTAGTTACTATATGTGGTTTGATGGTGCAGAAAATGATCACTGAAAAGAATATAAACTAGAAATATACAGTGGGGTCTAAAAGTCCGAGACCACATTGAAAATCTCTTCATATTTTCATGCAAGCCTGAAAATAATCAAATGGTTTGAGGATTCAGAAACATTTAAAAACCCAACCTAACCCAAACACAAGAAGTTATCTCATGTAAAATGAAGAAGAAATATTTAAGAATTTGCACTGTTTCTAGGTTAGCAATAACATTTAAGCAAATTCGGGGCATTGACCATCTTTACTCCTTTGTATACAAAGTCAGATTTCCTTAAATTGTATCCCTTCCACTGAGGCATGCATTCAGGTGACACTCAGGTGGATTTGATTTACTCAACAGAGGCTCGTTCAAGTAACTCAACTTGCAGCCAGTGTTCATCTGTTATAAATCAGGCTGTGCCTAGATTTCCCAGCAGGTCATTGCTCACTAAGTACCACTGTGATGGTGATAGATTGCAGGTTTCAGTGCATGGAGTTCTAAAATGCTTTGCAGAAACTGAATCAGACTTATCCAGAGCACAATCAGGCAGACCAAACGTGACCACACCATCAGCAAATCAACATATCAAGTGTTAGTTCCCTGAGAGAAAGAAAAGAAACTTCTTTACAGATACAGAATTTGGTAAGTAAAGAGCACAAGACTCCAATCAGCAGAAGTATCATCAAAGAAGGCTGTCTTGTAGTGGTCTGTAGCAGTTTATAAACCACTTTTCAGGAGAGGAAACAATGCCAAATGCTTGGGGTGGGGTAAGAAATATCAGCATTTCACAAGGATGACTGGAAAAAAAGTTATATTTTCTGATCAATTCAAGTTTGAGATTCATGGCAGTAACAGAAAGATGTATCTAAGGAGATGAACAGGGGAGAGAATAATACTACAGTGTATCAAACCCACAGTAAAACATGATGGTGGAAATATTCAAGTCTGCCGGTCTTTCTCCTACTCTGGGGTTACACCTGCACCAAATTGACAACACACTGACCAAGGAGAAGTATCACTCCATTCTTCAGAGACATGCCGCACTCTCTGGTTTTCATCTTTGTGGAGAATAATTCATACTGCAGTAAGATAATGACCCCGGTGACCTCAAACACAGCTCAAAGAAGACCAAATTAGACCAAGCAGTCCTGACTGTCATGGCCTCACCACAGTCACCTGAACTCAGCCCCACTGAACATTTATGAGGGAACTTGAAGAGTGAGAAAGCCAAGCGTTCTTTGGAACATTGTCAGATCATGCTGGGATAAAGTGGGTCACCAGGTTATGAAGCGAACACTACAGATATTCTGAAATTAATGTACATTTTGAGATGCAGTTTTTCACTCTAATTGTGAACCTGATATGTTTGATCTTTTGTAATTAAAAAAAATTGTATTACATTTAAAACAAATGCAAAATAGACATATCTTGACTCATGGTCAGACTCTTGGACCCTACTGTACATTAATAGCAGTGTTATCATGCCCATAAAACTGCAGGATGCAGAGGTGACATGAGATAAATATGCAACCAAACATAAAAAGAAACATCAAGGAACAGTGCTGTTTCCAAGAATCAAACAAGCAAAGACTATGCAAGAAATTTTGGCAGGAAGTTTCATAGTTTAAGGATTCATGATGCCCCCATTTGGCTGCAGCAACTCGTGAAACTAAAGAAGTGCTGAGGACAACTCCCCCTTTCCTTTTTCTTTGGTCCCTCAATTCTGGATGGCAGCCATGTTTTGGACTCATGACCTCCTGGCCAAGAGAATGTAATCTGAGACCAGGCTTGAGTTGGCTTGTAGTAGTAAACTGGAGAGTACTGCCACCTCCTGGCTGGACTCAGCTTTACAAGGGGTAACAGCAGACACAATGCACAGTGATGCACAGTTAAACACCAGCTAGAGTTATTTCTTAATCCCACTTTCCCTCAGGTAATGCGTTGAAGTATTGTTTAGCTCATTTAAATAATTACTTGATAATTATTAAATCAGTTCATTTACATTATATTGATAAAAGGGAATGCCATGGCACGAGGGTGGTATGATTAAACATTTGATTACAAGTTCATTACCTCATTTGTCAATCTTATCTCTTCAAGTACATGACTAGAGCCACAGAAACAGTTTGATATCTAGCTACTTTTTAATAAAACTGACACTTACTAGTCTTTGCTAAATGAAAAGACCTGGCAAGTCTATCAACCCCTCACTAGTGCACAGTGTTTATTTGAGGCATGACTCTTTCTTTGTCCCTAGTTTAAGCATTTCAAACTTACAACCCCTCAATTACTGAAATAATTCTAGATGTTAATGTCATAAAGCTAGGTTTAATACTGTAAACATGCACAATATTGATCCCAGTTGGGTAATTTTTTCCTTATTTTCCTCCTGCACTTTAGCTAACAGCAGGCAACCAGCAGCCAACTGTCATTCAGAGGCCAAAGCCTTGGTCAGGAGCAATAGCAGGCATATTTCTAATGTTTAACCTTCATGCTTTTTGCAGTGCGAGGAAGCCAAAGCACACAAACAAAAGCTAACACAAGCAGCTGAGCTTTGTAAGGACACAATGCTTCACCACAGAGCCACCATGCCAGCCTTCAGGCCTACTTCAAGGTGATACAAAAGTATGATAATTAGAAGTATTAGACAATAATCAAAGAATTTGCTCTGTATTACTCCCACAACAGTTAGAAAGGTTAGATTTTATCAGCAATTGCTTCTCAACAGGTTTGTTGTGTTAGTGTGGCCCTTTTTTGGTCATGAAATTCCCAGTCTGTTTGTGAATAGAGCTCTTGTTGGTGCTGGTTATCTTGATGCCCAGAGTGAACTCTCAATCACAGACTTTATAGGCATTTGACTTGTATTTATGTTACCAGCATTAATAAAACTCTAGAATCACTTGGTCCGGAGAAAACTGAATCAACATTTCTGACGAAGACTCTTGAATCATTTTCAGGCTCAAACAGGAATATATGAGATGTTACCTATAAGCTATCTGTACTAATTATCATATATATGTCACCTAATAAGTAACAATAAAAGTATCTGACTCAATAATCCAGTTTTGTTCAACAATGTACTGCAGAATATAAAACAGTCCACTCAAAAGCTCAATGCATTTCCCGAAGCCAAACTCCACAGAATAAATATAGTATATAAATGTGATGTTAAGTGAAGCTGCGTTTTTGAGAATTAATCAGGGATGATGATAAAGCTGACCATGAGTCCGGGTTTGTCTTGATAGCTGCTAACACTGGAGGGGATTAGTCTTTCTTTTCCTCCTGCAGGTCATGTTCATTCAGCAGACACCAGAACAGTGTTTTGTTGCTTGATAACATCAATGATTTCTCTGTGAGTGTGTAGCTCAGTGCCACAAACACTGGTTAATAGAAATGTCCTTTTGTGAGAATAACAGACTAATTGTATTTTTGAGCTCCTAAACTTAGACACAGTTATATGCAAAGGTTTGGGCACCCTACAAAGTCAGTACTTAGCAACACTCTCTTTGCCAACTGTTAAGCATGGTGGAAGAAATATTCTGCTTTGGGGTTGGGTGGCAGCGAGTCTTACCAGAAACACTGCACCGATAGAGGGAAGAATTAATTTCTACTAAATATCAGCAAATTCTGGGTGGAAAGAAAAGTGAAACTGAAAAGAGACTGGCCTCGACACAGGACAATGATCCAAAGCAGACCTCTAATCCACCATGAACTACTTCAACTACTTGAAGCTTGAGGAATGACCCTCACTGTCCCCTGACCTGAAAGTCAAAGAAAATCTGTGGGCAGCCTGAGAACTTTAAGTGATCTGCGAGGAAGAGAAAGAATGAGTGGAAATTCCTAAAAGAAGAATTTAAAGCCTCTTAAAACCTCTCTAGCTGCAACACACAGTGTGTGCAAGCTGTAATATCTGCCAAAGGCAGGGTTAATAAATACTGACTTAGTATGGCGCCCACGCTTTTGCAAATGCCACAATTACTATAAAATGTTATGCTATCAGTGCATTAACAACTGGAAAATGTTTTTAATTTAATGTCTGTTTGCTGCAGGGGTTATATTTACTTCTTTTCATTTAAAAAGTCAACAAAATATGTCATTTACCCAGGGGTGCCCATACATACAACTGTATATGCCATGTTTGAAGCACCTATTGACCCAGAGCTACTGACAATAACAGTAAACAGTAAGAAGATATGAAGAGCCACTGCTGAGACAGACTAATGAGTTAACATTGGCTGTGCTTTCTATGAGTTACCCATGATCAGATCACTATGTGGCCATTTTGTAAAAAAAATACATCCCTGGGAAAACTAGAAGAGATTTTAAAAAAAGGAGCTGAAGCAGCTCAACATCCAAAACAATGACAGTGTCAACTGTCAGTGCCTGTGACCCCGCCCCCTTTGAAGCTACACATTGTTTCTGATGTTAAACTCACTTTCTGCATAAAAACTATGCGGAAGACACTTAAATTAGTCACTTTCTGCTTCAGAGGCTTGTTCAAATCCAATCTCCTGCCTTATTGGATTCATAAATTTTGAACAAAAAGCCACTGTCCGTGCCCATGGCCTACTCACAAGGCTAAACCGGTAAACTCACTCAAAGCGAGTCAACATGTTGAACAGGACTTCGAGGTTTTCATAAGCATTTCTCAACAGGAGAAAACAGTGTCTTAGCTCGTCCAGAGAGCAACAGTAGACTTTTCTGACACCTCGTTGCCCTAAAAAACACCGCTGTCTGGTGTCCCGGTGACTTTGTCATGCGCAGCTGAATAGTTCAGAAAACTTTTCCCAAACTCACCTTCCTCACGGCAAGTCGCATTTTCCTCCTCCTCTCTGGTTACTTGCGTGATTATCGACGGCGAATGGTCCATTAGGTCCGTCACTCACAGACAAGCACGTTATCAATGTAGAAAAATTACTTCGAGGAGTTATGGCAAAAAATAAATATATTTTGCCACTCCCTGTCTGCAAACGCGCATACTGAGCGTAAAATTAAAGAAACGCTTTAAACGACAGAAAAGCGTTCAAAAGAAATCATACTGGTCCAAACTTCCCTAAAATGCAAAGGTAACTGTTTAAAAAAAGTTATTTCTAAAAGTTGTAACGTTGTACAAGTTCATCAATTTGACCATGCTAACATGGAACTTGACGGTTTCAAGGAAGCCCCATTCTTAAAGCCACAATGCAGGATATGAAGCTTTTTACAAGCTGTTGAACTATACGAGTAACCGTACAGACGTTTAGTTATATTGTGTCTAGGAAATATGTTGTGGGGGAATTTGAATAAGTTTCTAGGGTTTTATTTTTAGTTCGATTTTGTATATAAATGCGACAACTATAACTGATAAAACACTTATGAAGTATTCGTTTTCTGTTTACAGTGAATATATTTCAGTTTTGAGACGTTTAAGTGAGACGTTTCTTGTGCGTAGCGTCTTTTTGAAGTTTGTTCATGCACAACTTTGACAGGGGCAGCCTTGAAACCGACCAGGAGAAAAGGGAAGTTAGGGACAGTCTTTAAAGTGCCCTCAGCTAAAATCAAGGTAACTCTCTTCTTTTTGAAATGTCTCCACGAAGACCCCCCCCCCCAAAAGAAGGATGTTTTTTAAATTGTTTGTTCTTTTGTTTGTTTGTTTTTCTTTCATAGTTGCTGCTGTTTGCATCTAAATAAAGAGAATTATGGAAATCGTTTTATGGAGACAGCTATTTAAACAAACATAAGCTATACTTACTTGCAGAGGAAGACTGAATGCCAGTATTTATTCGACCTTTCATTTAACCAGAAAATTATGCACATGCTAATTACTACAAGTCTTTTTGATAGGGAATGGGGGGGAAGTGGTATTAAAATATAATTCTGAGGTGTTGCAAGATGATGAAAAGATAAGAAAAGCTAAAAATAAAGTCAGCAACACAATTTTTTTCACACGTTTTTTTTTTTTTTCTATGTGTGTGTAGTTTTGCATCACTGAATGAGTCTGATGAAGGAATGTTAGTCTATGGTTGCACTGCTTGCAACTCATTAAAATGCACTGTGTGATGAAAGGCGTTGTGTATATGGGACCTCCTGTGTGTACTGAACTCCCTCTGGTGACTTTCTTGTTATTACTGCATTGAAATGAAACAACAATCATCATGCACACTGGAGCAATAAATAGTAACTGAAGCTGTAATTCCTCTGGTCGCCGCTATGTGCTGCTGACAGCAACTTTCTCATTCTAGTTCAGCTGCACTCAAACTTCCCCATCAATGAGTTGGATTTTGTGACTCTAGTAACTGCCAAGGGGACAGGAAGTAGTTATCCGGGCCAACCATCAACCTGGGTAGGTGAAATTTGACAAATTAATGTTTACAGTAATGACAATTACACTATGAATATCAATACCAACACCAGTCTCTCACATTTACCTTTTTAGTATCTGTAGCATGTCAATTATATTTATTGTTAAGGTAAAATACTGTGTTTTTCATCTCTACCTTGTACCATTTCCATCAGAAACAAATATTTAACTTACTCTCACAAAACTAATGTTTTGCCCTTTCGTAAATAATGGATAATTAAAAAGACTCAAAAACAAGACATCAGCAAAAAAATCTTTACTTTTTAATATGAGCATGGTTTAAGTTATGTACAGCTTTGAACAGAGCGTTACTATAGCATATTGCCCACTGGATTGTACTGTAAGAGAACAGGGGCTCATCGTGTTAGTATGAGGCTGCATTAGAGGATGTCCACACGAGCGAAGGACTGGTCTGTGCCTAGACTATTCTCCACAAACACCTCATACTTGCCAGCATCGGACAATTTTGCATTTTTGATGGTCAAGATTGTGTTGGTGTCTCCAATGTCAAAGAATACCCTGAAAGACAACCACAGCACTTTTATTATCACAATTTGCACAATCAATTTGCAATAATAGCTGTCTCCTGGCATCTGTCCACCTTACACGGTGTCACAGTGCACTTACTGTATTTAACTATACTTTTACTGTTTGAATCGATTCACAATAATGATGGTGTTCATGGAAAATCTACATGTCTACATGTGCACACATCCTGAAAAGGCAGTGTAAATATATACAATGGTGCGTTCTTCCTGACTGGAATTCCTCCTACCTGTCGTCTTCTTCAATGTCATCTCCATCTTTGAGCCAGGCAACATCCGGAGGAGGTTCTCCACTTATTTCAGCTTTGAGCACAACTGTTGTCCCTCTCTTGGCCTTCATGTTGTCAGGGCCTTTAGAAACCTTGGCAGGGACTGGGAGAGCATGATGCAAATATTCTGTTAGCCATATGATTTGTTAAATATCACAAATACTGTTAGATATCACTTCAAAGATGTGTTGCGGGAGAGATAGTCTCTAGAGGAATAAATGAGAAGGAGGCCTTGGCATCAACTTTCATCCGTGTTTTCCAATTCATCTGGTATGAATGTTTAAGATTTATTTTACTGCACTGTCCAGAAAATAAGGTGTTAAAAGTAATAGTTTTATAGTCAACAGTTGACATTTGGGGAAATACTTTTCATGATTTTATATCAGTTTTATATCAGTAAATATAAGTCTATAGCCAGCAGCATAGCTTAGCATAATGACTGGAAAAAGGGGGAAACAACTCGACTGGTTTTGCCCAATGGTAACAAAAACATATTTCCCCAAAATGTTGAACTGTTCCTTTAAGTGGTTTGATTAAATTCAGATCCCACCAGGTCTGACAAATTGACAACACTCAAATGCCAGCTAAAGTGAACAGTTTGTACACACCCTCCACTAGAATACAAGCAGATCCTGATGTCTGTCCGAATGGATTCTTAATGGTGACAGTGTATTTTCCCAGATCAGCCAGAACCCCGTCTCGAACCACGAGCGCCACAAAATCCGGGTCTTCAAACACATAGCGGTACTTGGGACCGTCCTTCAGCTCTTTGCCATCCTTGTACCAGACAATGAAAGGATCTGGGAAAGCACTGACTCTGCACTCCAGCTTTGCAGCGCTGCCCTCAACAAGAACCACATCTTTGAGCTCCTGCAGGATCTTAGGAGGACCTTTCTCTCGCAGCTCTTTACGCGACCTGTATGACAAACACAGGGATTCAAAATGAGGTATGGATAAAGAGCCTGATGTCATAAATAGAGATGCTACGATAACTCAACTGCACACAGCCTTTTTGAACATCTCCTCTTATACAATTGCACAGAAAAAGGTGCTTGAATGTCAATGATAGCAAACAGACATTGGAGATTTCGGTACCTGTGTCCGCGATATGAGGCCTGGATTCGGATAGCAGCTTCCTGGACCTGAGGATCGTTGATGTTCAGAGTGCACCCAGGAGGGGGTGCCGCCTTTGCCTTGGACATCTGCAGCAGTCAAGGCTGGTTAGCACCACCAGCAGAAACACTGAGCCCACTGCAGTATTGCAAGTATAAGTTACTCTCAGATTTCTTACCTTGGAGATCCTCCTGTAGATCCACGCTGCCTCCGATCCTCTCCAGAGTCAGCAATCATAAAAAGGCTTCACGCTTTATATCTGGAGGTCAGGAGGAGTTTTGAGGGTCTTCAAGGATCAAGGCAAATGAATCATCACCCAGACCTTCCTTCTCCTTCTTTGGATATTAGGCAATACTCAAACATGACAAGACCGTAGCCTGAAGACTGAAGATGCACAACAAATGTTACAGAGACATTTTCCCACCCTTATATAGCATTCATCTCAAATACTCTGGAGAATCCTTGGAGCAGTTAATAGTTTTGTTCGTGGTTGTTTAAATAGTAGAGGAAGTATGTTGAAATGTGAGTCGTCCCTGGTGAGAATAAGCACATAACTGTTGGTCATCAGGGTCATGTGGAGGGAGTGGCATAGCCAGAACTAACCACAGTCCATTCGGCTACCTTTAATTCTATAACAAAGTCAACATTAACAGTTTTATGCACTTTTTATACCCACTTTTCATCCTCTGTTTAAATAAATTGCCACATCGAAATTCCCATATTTGTCATATTTCCTTTATTGTTCATAGCCTTAACAGCTGTCATGCCTTTTTCCATGCCAGATTCAGAGATTTCACAAAAATAAAAAGCAGAAGCTGTAACAAATACAGTCACTCAATAAATAAACAAATTGTGAAACACACACACACAAACAAAGCAGTCACTTTCATATAATCAAAATAAACTAGTCATTCATTTAACAGACTATTTTCTCTGTGGGTCTAATATCCATCACGAGGCACTGCAACACATTCCACAAAATACGGCATAGAGGTTTTAATACAAAACGTGGAGCGTTCAACATCTTTAAAACCCTGTCGTCTGCTCACAAGCAGTCGTCATTTCGTTTCATACGAGTGAAGAACAGAGTTAATATATTGCACAGACGTTTAGAGTTTTATGCAATGTTGCATTTCATGCTGATCTTGTATGTTTCCATTCAGGTTCAAAACAACAACTCCCTTAGTGATTCACTTCTACTCTGCATAGGAAAATGACTGAGCCAAAACAACAAAGAGCTGCAGAAAAAGGCAGTATTTATCTAGCAATAGCATTAGAATAGATAGAACTAGTAAAATAATTTCATAGAATTACCAACAACCTCTGTCAGTCAATACACTTATTAAAAATAACTCAGGATTTGATGTGTGATGCAGCTTTCTACCACCCAAAAACACTCCTCAGTGTCTGCTTGAGATTCCTTGATACTTTCTTTAAAATTAATCTAAACGGAAATTACACATCGTGTGTTGAGTGTGTAAATCTGTAGTTGATACCAGTCGCCTGCATGTGGCAGCAAAATGACCAAAAAAATCTGACATTTGTGCAAAAGTCTCACATTCTGGTCTGAAAACTGAATTTGCCGTCACAAGGCAAAGCAACATAACAGGAACAACACAACTTAAGCCATTTGTTTACCATAAAATAACAAAGATGAATCAAAAGGATCACTGTATCACTGATGTATGATCAATATAATCTCAAAGCCAATGTACTGGAGTAGACTGACTACTAATGTTTAGGTTGAGACATCCTCGGATTAAAGGGGCTATAACTGTAGATATTTTCTCAGAGGTGAGACTGACGATATATTTGGAAACACAATATAATGTAAAGCAACTAGAGTCAGTTGTTTACTCATTTCAGTAATTCTTTGCACATGACTAAACTGAGAACAAATGTAACTTTTAAATGCCAATAGGCAACTTGGATCAGATACTTTGAGTCTACCCATGGGACAAATGTTTATCTGCCCAACTGTAATCTTCAGTTTTGTCCCTGCAGAGCACAAGTTATGTGTTTTAAGGGACCGAAACCAGAGTGAAAAAATAGATTCAATTCATGATTTATCTATTTTGTAATGGTTTGAAAATCAGCCAGTTAAGGAGGCATGTGTTCACGTATTTACACTCTCTTGATGATGAACAAATACTTGGCTTTTATTCATGTGGGAATAAGAGGAAGTATTTCTTATTTACAAATTTTTTTTTTCCCTAGATGTGTATAGATTGTCTCACATTTCTGATTTAATATTTTGTACAGTCTGCAGAGGCTGCAATGTCTCGGATTTATCATTTGATCACTGTTGACAGTGTAAGCTTGTATGGTCTGGAAACTAAAAAGGTGTTTGAAACTTTAATTAAGGGAATAAACCAATAAGCATTTATGTATGTTGAATGCTAATTCTAACCAATTAAAACCTTCCTTTTATTTATAAAAAGTTCTGCCATTTAAAAACTGTAATTTATAACAATCAAAGAAAGCAGTAGCTGAGCTGTTAACTGTTGAAAATTATACTTAAAATAAGAATTAATACACTCAGCAATGTCTTCATCAACAGCCTATCTCGATGAACTGTGGAGGCTATTTAATGCTGACTAATGCTAACTCTTTAATGGCACTTAGAGGCACCCCAGTATCACCAGTGGGTTATTCAGTTCACCACTTACCCCCTAAACAATCTAACATTTAATGAGGGTCTCGTGTCAAAGTGCAGTTAAAGTATAAACTGACAAACTGACCCCGGAAAACTTGTAAACCTCATTTTAGTAAACTCAAGAGACGAGTGCATGGCTAATCAAACTGGATCCTTGACACTGGGCTGGGTGGAAGAGTGTTGTTCGACTGGAAGCCAATAAGGTGTTTGTTAGCTTATGTGTGGTGAAGGAGCCAGTGTCGGCCAGGCGCCAACACAGTGACAGTACTGCATGGAGTCACTTACGCTGTCCAGATCATCACTAAGAGCAAAGAGGATGATAATAACAAAAAACATAAACCCTGCTTTTGAGAATGAGAGAATCATAATTATCATATTTCTTAACATTAGGGAAGAAATTTGTGCTGATTAAAAGAGTCCTTTTTTAATAGCCCTTGAGAGCTGTCCAATGTATCCTCTGAACTCAATATATATTCATTCATATTTCATAAACTCCATACAAAACAAACAAAGTTCTCTCTGGGGCTGCTACAATCTTGACGATCATTTGAGGTGCTATGGCAGTATAAAAACTCAGACAGCACGAATTACACTGCTGTAAGTAAAGTGATAGATTAAGTTAATGGAGGGAAATATTTAGCATCCCAAGTTGTCTTTGATCAAGGACAGAGAATTAGACATCATAGATTTGACTGCTCAGGAAACATTTGAATATGAGCCTGTGATAGACTGAGAGAGTAGAGGCGTTACTATGGAAAAGGCATCATTGTTTTAGTTGTTCTGGATTATTTTGGAACCTCGTGAATGACTTCAATTTTTTTTTTTTTAAACATCAAAAATCTATAATAGCAATTTCAGGCCTTTCATGGTGGGTTACTACAATGTATTTATATGTGTCCCCTGTAATCAGTGTAGAGTTGACCCTAAGAAAAGAAGTAATTTATCCAAAATGTATGCAAAGTTACAAACCTTGAGGTACTAACTTGAAGACACCATCCTGCCATGTATGAACAAGGTCCACATTATAAAAAATGCAGTCAGGCTCTGATTGTAGGAGTTCCTTAGGCATTAAATCGTTCTTTCAGATTCTCTGTCAGAACCAGAAAAGAAAAAGAAATGATGTCTCTGTAGATCACAGCCACTGCTGGTTTCATCAGTATTTTTTTTTTCTTCTGACCAAGTTCAACAGCTGGGACCTGAAGGGACCATCCCACCTGGCGGCTCAAAGTCTCGTCTCGCTCTGAGGATGTTCCCCCGTGCAGTCCCACCAACTGCTGTTTGGAAGCCTGTTTTCACTGGGTCACAGGTGTGGTGGGTGGGGGTGGCACATTTGGCGTGGTGGGGCTGGTGGGGCTTTGTGTCGAGCTCTTGTAGGACCGCAGGAGAACTTTGTGCTTGGTGGCCACCTCCTCTCGCCTGCGCTGCTGGTCGGCCAAGAATTCCTTGAGACGGGTGGTTGTAAAGGTAAGAGTCTGCCTACGAAGACGCATCAGGTAGGCATCTTGAAGCCAGGAGTTACTGAAGCAGTCCTTAATGGATGGACGGGCCCTGTGGAAGACCAGACAGTGAGGACACAACTATTTATAGATGTCTAAAATTAGATCGCAGGCAATAAAAGGTCTATATGTTCAGCGACAAGAAATTCTGTGCAAAATGGGAATTACAAACAGGACAAATGTTCAGCTTACCAAGGGTAGCTACAGAGGATCTTTTTAAGAAACAGAGAGGCACTTTGGGACACATTCTGGTAGAGTTTAGAGAGGTCAAACTTTGCCGCCTGGATCCTGGCTTCAGTCTCCTGAGGATCATTTTCCATGAAAGGTGACCTGCCACTCAACCTGGAAAATAAGGGGAAAGGTTTTCACCGCCACAAAACCATGTAGCTCACTCAAAAACATATCGACAATGCACAATGAAATCTAAGCTGGCTCATTAGGTTGGTTGTGAATGAAGGAACCAGCATCAAGATGTTCACGGTTTATATTAAGACCTGAAAAAGCAAACGCAGCAGACACATTTCTTAATCATAGGCCCAGTCTCACCTAAAGAACACTATTACATTTCTATTTAAAGAGGACCTGCTGAGTGGAAGCTGAGAAAGCGGTACTCACATGACGAAAGTCAGTACGCCCACACTCCAGATGTCAGCTGGAGGGCCCACTACATCCCCTTTCAACATCTCTGGAGCTGCAAGGAGGAGAAAGGAAAAATGCACACACTTCATTATTTTACAACAAACTTTAATTTAATCTGCAAATCATCTTTGTACTACACTAACTAAACTACACTATGATGATATTGTTTTGCACAGCTTTATTAGATGGGAGAATGCATAGTTTTAGTTTAGTTTAGTTTAGTTTATAATGCTCCTTTGTTTTCATAGCTGGTGCACACCCACTGACAGTTCAGTTACATAAACCTCCTGAAGAGCAGAAATGACAAGATCAGTATTAATAGAATAAATCAACAGAATGTCAAAACCAACAAAGACTTTTCATTTATACTCCTAATAAATTAGCAGTTATATAAAATAAGAGATTATACCATACGAGAATTTATATTTTTCTAACCCAGTGCACAAAATGACCAATACATAGGTGAATTATAGTGTTGTAGTTTAAGTGCCTTACCATAATATCTTCAATTACTTAGTACATCCACTGAATACATTTGTAGTCAATGGTTTCTTGTAATATGCACCTTCCTTTTTGAAGTCAAAATTTGGTGATAAATAATATTATATTTGTGACTGTTTATTAGTGTCTGTGTGTAATATTTGCTTTGTGTGAACAAATTAGTCATTAGTCTTAGTCATAATCTTGTGTTTGTTGCCTCTTAAAAATAGATGTTGATCTAAATGAGACCTCACTAACAAACTAAACTGACTTACTGGCAAAACAAGCAGTAAACACAAGGAAATATCACCCTAAAACATTGGTATGGCTAATGTGTTAGCAAATTACTGCTGTTTTACACATCTAGCAGATACAGAGCAACATTAGAGCCTAGTTCACCAACTAGTTGCTAACTGCTGTCCGTCCGCTGTTTGGGGCAGGGCGGGTGGTGCACAGCAGTGAGAGTGAATCAGTGCAGTAAAGTTGTGGGCCACAAACAAATCATCCAAAACAACGAGCTGAAAGGTGCTGAAAAGCTCAAAGATCTGAGGGATTTTGAGGAGTCAGGTGAAAATCTTCTGTGCTTTGTCACTATGAGAGATCCCTTTCACATCACACAGTCATTTGATCAATTGTTACAATAAAAATATTGATTACGACAGCTTTAATTAATTCCCAGGGGTCTGGGAAAAGCAGGACTCTTACACATGTACTCCAGTGTTCCAATAGGAGGGTTGAACTGCTTGAGGAAGAGAGGGTTGAACGTCTGAGCGCTGCCAAAGTCTATGATCTTGATGACATTCATGTAAGTGACAATGATGTTCTCTGGCTTGATGTCCAGGTGGAGGATGCGTCGGGTGTGGAGGTAGTCCAGACCCTGGAGGACCTGCACGATGTAGGTCACCACATCATCCTCGGAGTAACGGAACCTGAGAAGGAAACAGCTGGTTAAGGGACTCTGGGAAGAATATTTTATGGCAGGTGCTTAGACATGGTGTTTCTGCTCCGACAACTCAGACAAGCGACCAATTTAATGGTACAAGTATAGCTCCCAGTTCGGCTTCACCTGTCTATGAGGCTGTAGAGCAGCTCCTTTCCACTGCAGTACTCAGAGATAAGCACCAGGTAGCGTGGTGTGACATAAGCTTCATGCAGAGCCATGATCCTGTCATGATGAAGGGACTTGAGGATGTCATATTCCTGCAGCACTGCCTGCTTGTTGTCTGCCTCATACGGAACAATCTTGGCCATGAAGAGGTTTCCTGTGGCGTTCTCCCGGCACTCACGGATCACACCGAAACGACCCCTGTGTGACAAGGGAATGCTATGAATTCAGCAGGCAAACAGAGCAGAAGAAGCCACTGATTCCAAATCTAATGTTCATGATATTTCTTTGTGTGTGGTCAAAAAAAATCTAAAACTAAGAAAGATATTATACTAACATAATGCAAACATCATTTTTAGTCCCTTGTCTCAATATATGATCAATGCTATTGCTGATTGGTTAAAAAAGCACAAAATTTGCCTTAATCAGAGATCTTAGCAGAACAGTCAGGGTATGTAGCTACAAACAACTTCACATTTCAGATTGTTTTGCATAAATGAGTTCTCTATATTTGACTCCTGTTCTCGCAGCGATCATTACCTTGCTTTCTCATCCATGAAGGTGTAAGGTTTCTGTGGGACTCCCTGGCGCAGAGATCCCTCCCCAGGCTTGCCCAGCGGTGTCCTGCGTCCCGACGGTGTGACCCGACCTGATGGGGTGGCGCGTCCAGATGGAGTGACCCGTCCAGATGGGCTACTCCAGCTGTCCCCTCCCTGCAGGACAGGGGTCAAGCTCTGCACCACCACCACAGGCGGTGAGACAGTCACAGGAGTGACTGAGGGGGTGGTGGCTGTCGGGGTGGAACTGGATTGAGAGGGGGGAGTGACACGTGCAGTCGCAGTTGGCACGTACATTGGCACAGATGAAATAGGCTTCCCGATGACAGGTGCAGGTGCAGGTGCAGGTGCAGGTGCAGGTGAAGGTGCAGCTGCAGGTGCAGGTGCAGGTGAAGGTGCAGGTGCAGGTGCAGGTGAAGGTGCAGATACAGGAAGAGGAGCTTTGCTGGTTACGGGGATCGCTTTATGGACAGGACTCCGAGGTTTGGGTGGAACAGCAGGCGGGGGCGACAGCTTGGTTTGGGGTTTGCTCATACTGATGCTAAGGGTGGTCTTGGCTTTTGCTGGCGTGACTTGGACACTTGTGGTGGTCTGAACAGGAGCTTGTTCAGAGGGTGCTGTGCTAATGGGGGGAACGACAGCAGGACGGCTAGCATCAACCTGAACAGTGGGTTTGATGGTTATTGGAGAAGCAGATTTAACCACAGGTGGAGTGGGAGCTGAAATAGAGGGAGGGACCGGTTGGGCAAGTGTCACTGTAGTGGATTTACTAGGAGCTGGTTTAATGGGAGGAACTTTCATGGATGACATCATCACCACAGGCGGAGTAGGAGAAGTTGCAGGGACCGTCTTGACCACCACGGTAGCACTGGTTTTAGCTGGTTCTACTGAAAGATAAGGAGAGGGAGGATACACCTCAAAGACCTGAGTTGATATATGAAGAGGACAGTATATTCAGTGCTTGGCTCTACACGAGAATGCATTGTTCGGGAACAGTGAATAGTTTGTAATGTACTGTATGTTGTCCCAGACTAAAAATATAACATACACATAAAAACATCACACCACATCAAGCTTTAATCCTGTGAGTATGTATACAGCCATTTACAAGGAGATAAATCAATAAAGTGATACACAGTGACTGCCTTATCTAAAATAAAGATAACACATACCTGAAGCATCCAGGCTCACTACTTCTGAGAGGTTGCTGTAGGGGCCCTGGCCAGCTTTGTTGACACATGCCACCCTGAACCTGAAGGAGCACCCTGGTGGCAGGTCAACCACATTGTAGTAACAGTCTGCCACCCCAGTTGCCACGATCAGCCAGTTCTTCTCACCTGGGGAGTAAAAAAAGATCAGTATATACTGTATGTCCATATTTTCAGACATTAGACATTTTTAGCATTAATGTTATTTTGATTTTTTCTACCTTACTTCTTTTAGCTGAGTAGAAAATATACATTTATTCAGTTAGTCACCTCTTTTTGGTTGGAACTTAAAGCTACAAAAGGCTCAAAATTGTGAATGTTAAAGTAAATGCTGATAATGTTGGTGGCCTTGCAAACGACTCCTAGAAATCTCATTAACATCTGTTAACCTCTTCAGTTGACAATAATCACATATAAATGCACATCTTCAATGAACACAGACCTTGTTTTGCTATTCATAAGCCAGTCTCATTTCTCATGTGCATTGACACTGATATTGCCTTAAACATGGAGTAAGATAGTTCTATTTCACCTTCACCACTGAGTGCCATAGCCCAGGTGTTGCCATAGCAACCTGAAAGTCATTTGTATTATTTATGTGGTGTTGGTGATTTCATTTTCATAAAAAGATGTTGTTTGTTACCTTGTCTGATAGGAGTAGGTGCAGTGCACACTGCCTCACATGTTTACCTAAAGTATATACATCGGGTCACAGCGGATTTTGAAAAGAAAGTGAAGTTTCCTGTAGCATTAATGTAAAATGTAGTATGGGCAAGTCCTACCCCATTATGTTTGCGTCCATGTAACCCTTCCAAAAGCCACAGTGCAATATAATAATTAAAATAATTAAAAAATGTATGATATCTGACACTAGGCATCTGAAAAAGGCAATAAAACATTGAATTATTATTTGTAAACACTGACCCTCTGCTCTTCTCTCCAGAGAGTATGTGCAGGGGGCCATGTTGTCTGAGGGCCTCCACAGTACCAATGCCGTGTTGTTGTACTTCTGAGGAATCTCAGGGGTCCCAGGACGATTGGGCAGGCCTGTTAAAACAAATACATTGGGAAAGTTTATAAAACTAGTGTATTTAATCAGTAATACAACATATAATCTGTCCTTGGACTCCAGCCCCAGTATTACTGTATTTATTTTTTATATAGTGCTATAATATACATGTACATAGGACTGACATAGTTTACTTCACCTCACAGACTGAAATAAAAGCAGATATGTATCAATTACTTACGAGCAAGAGATATCGTGCAAGAGCTGGACACAGCAGCCAGGGGGTTTGTGGCCACACACTCATAAACCCCTGCATCCTTCTTGGTGGTCTGCATGATCATCAGTAGCTGCCGGCCATCAGGGCAGGCGATCATGTTCATCCTGGAATCAATCTCCAGGGGCTTTTTATCTGAAGAAACAAACATGCACAGAAAGGGACTTTTATATCTAATATAATCTTTTATATCTAGTCTTCTATAACTAATGGTTTAAAGTGTAATAAAGAGTAATAAAGAGAAATAAGGAATCTGCAGTGTTTATCTGCACTTCTTTTTCTTTTTCCACTGAGGCACACTCTGTTGTCATGGTACCATATGTTCGTATGTACTGAGATGCAACGTAGGCCATCATTATGTCTCTACACTCACGGAACCAAGAACAATTATGTAAATTACTGTAATTTGCAAGTGAAGTGATTCTGACCACCCACCTGTGAGATCAACAGTTAGGTAGTACTGCCTTGTTTACGTCAGAGATCTTTACCTTTTAGCCAGGTAATGTGTGGGTGGGGGCTGCCTGCTGGCAGACAGCTGAGCGTGACTGGATCCCCCTCCAGCAGGACATGATCTCTCAGCTTGATGTGGAAGACTGGAGGGAAATCTGGAAGCCAAACACATTAGACCAGTTAAATCACATCCATACAGTACCGAATACACTTGATATTGCTGTGTAAAAGTATATAATATAGCAATTAAATGCTCCAGGTTCACTGATGTTTACGTACAATTCCACGTCATGGTTTGGTAAACTATGCAACATATAATATTTAATAATGGTGACTTAAAGCAACAGTTGAACATTTTGGGTATTAGTATTTTGGTTATTCGTTTCTTGCTGAAAATTAGATAAGACAAGAGAAGCTACAGACAGCAGCTGGTTAGCATTAAGACTGGGAGGTGGGGGAACAGCTAGCCTGGCTCTGTCCACCTCTCCAGCAGCTCTATAGCTCACCAGTTTAACATGTTATATCTCATTTGTTTAACCTGAAGAAAAAACAACATAAAAAACATGTTGTGGGTTATTTATGGGAGCAGTCACTTCCTGAAGTTTCTGGTGGTTGCACAGCAACTGTATGACGACAAGAGCAACAAGAGCCAGGTTGATCCTGCTTTCAGTCTTTCTGCTAAACAAAGCTAAACTAACCAGCTGCTAGCTCTAACCCAGTGCGATCACAGCCTCTTCATGTACACTTACCAGAAGCCAGTCTGGAATACTGGCGTGAGCGTAAGGAACTATTTTCTCTGGAGATTGCTGTTGGTAAGTCAGGCTGTGAAACTGTTTTGTCTCGCCTCCCTCTGGTCAGGCCCCATCTATCCCAGCGGGATCTGCGCTCCCCCTCCACACCTTTGCGAGAAAAACAAAAATCAAATCTATAAGTCAATCATCCCACATTTAAGAAAGCGTAAGTACCACATTTAAGAAAGCGTAAGTAATAGTACTCTACTCAAATGCGGCGCAGTAGGGTGAAGTTAGTGTCTCATACCTTTTGATGCGTCTGACCTTAGGCTGGACACAGAGTCTAGAGACTCTGATGAGGCGCCATTACTGGCCTGAGATGCCAGCTGGTTCTGAGGAACACTGGCAACCTTCGTAGCACGGCTCTCTGATGTTGCACGACGAAGCATAGAGAGAATGGGTGTCCTCTTTTGTTCCTTTTCCTCTGATGTTTTCCTTTCCTCTGAGAAGCTACGAATTCTGGTGGAGATCCCAGCCACTGTTGATTCAATCTTCCTTCGCATTGTCAAGACTGGTGATTCATTAGGTTTCTTAAGCTCCTTTTCATCTTGTTCAACAGAGGCATCACCACCACCATCCATCCGCATCATCTCCACTTCCTTCTTTTCCTGTGATCCTCGTCGACCAAGAGTCCAAGAAAGCCTTCGTCTTGAAGAAACTGAGTCTTCTTCTTTGGTTGTTTCATCCTTGCGCTCGGTTGATGGAGTTCTCTTCAGGCGCATAGAGAGTCTTCTCATAAAGCCTTGGTCCTTTTGAGCTTCACGAAGGTCCTGGACTGACTTCGACTTCTCTTCAAGTCTCCTTGGTGCCAATTCCAGTGGTGCACCAATTGGCCCAGGTCTGTATATCTCTTCACCTGACTCTGTGGAGTCTGAGAAAGCTGCTTGTGATTTGTCGTCATTCTTGGACCGAGACAAAAATTTTAGACTTCTTGTGAGAGAAGACTCACGTTTTTTGAAGCGAGCCTCAAAGACTTCTTCAGAGCTAATGTCCTCTAAGCCCACTCCTGCTGAAAGCTCTTGTTGGGATGAGGAATGTGTGGTAGTCTTTGGTGGACTGGGTTCTTTTGTGATCATTTCTGGCGATGCCACCCTGGAGTATACAGCAGGGTGCTCAGTGGTTGACATGATGGCTGGCCTCAGCACACCTGGTAAAGCAGAGGATATGCTGGCAGGTGATGATGTTTCAGTTGATACTGAGGACAGTGAGGTGGTTGGAACAACAACAGGAGTAGAGGGACCTAAAGGTGAGTCATTGAGAGGCTGAAGTGAAGGGACCATGATGGTCTGCATTATACTAGCGTATGCTGAAGTCCTTCCATCTGGCAGAACAACTCGAGCAGGAAGCGAGGGTGTTACATAAGTTGACACAACACTTTCTGACGGATGGGAATATTCTTGCGTGGGTCTCATCATAACTGAGCTTGTGGTTATGAGCATCTCAGAAGATTTAGCAGGCATATTTACTTCCTCTTCTACATTTTCTACAGTATCTTCTACATTTTCTTTAGCATTTGATTCAGAAACACTGACAATTCTTTCCTCTTCTTCTTTACTAATCTCTTCTTTTTCTTCTTCCTCTTCCATTTTCTCCTCTAGTTTAGAGTTTTGGACCACAGGAGGAGGTGTAGGAATTCTCTGGCCCGTATACTCTGATTCAATCATTGGTTCTTCTGATATGCTCATGTCCTTCTCTGAGAAACCACTTGTGCTCGATCTCTCATCAAAATTACTATCTGTAGTCAACCCATCCATCTTTTCATTTATAGTCTCATCAGGCTTTATCTCTCTCTCCATTAGTGATTCCTCGCTTTCTGTTTTGGTAGGACTCTCCTGCACAACAGACTCTGGAGTTGGTGGTTTTGGTGAAGGTTCCCTGGGAGTCACTGGACGAGAATCTAGCTTGGTTTGCTCAGTCAAAGATGACATAGATATAGCTTCCTTAAGCCTTCTCTCTTCTATCTGTGCCAGGGGAATCTCCAGAGGAGCTCCAGACCGGCGGTGTAGAGCTATGGGTTCTGAATCACCTTGACTGAAAGAAGCACTTTTGCGCAAAACTTTGGGTTTGGGAACTTCTTCCCTTGGGGAATCAGTGGATGCAGCTCTAGTTAGTGGTGGTGGGCCCAAACGAGCAGTACGAGAGTAGCGATCTGAGGATATTGCACGTTTTTCATCTCCCATTCCTAATGTTTCCAGCAGTGGTCCTCTCAGTCCACTCATTTTGTTGTCTACAGAGCCACCACGAAGCAGTCGCTGTCTCATCAGCTCCAGTTTAAGGGCGTAGTCTTCTTGACTCATCTTGGCAGTGCCTGGGCTGGTGCTCCTCCTGGGTAGTTCCATAGACACAGCTTTCTTCAGAACTCTCTTGCCTTCCTCTTGGTTTCCTTCTCCAGCTCCTTCCTCGGGTGTAATCCTGAGCATCAATGCACTGTCGGCTGAGCCTCCACGCCTGAGCTCTCCTCTTCGCCGTCCACCCTCTGGTTTGTCTGACTCCATGCTTGAACCCCTTCGCAGTGGTTTTCTAGACAGCTCTGACTTTTGTGGCAGTTCAGCAGGTAGTTCTTCATCTGAGGAACCCCTGTCATTGTCTTGTGATGACCTTTTCCGATGGCGGCCCTTACCTGTGATTTCAACCCCTTCTTTGTTCATTTGTTTAGGGTCACACTCCTTTGCCTCCTGTGCTTGAACAGGGGACCCGGACCTTTTATTAGTTCCATTCTGCTTTCCTGTTTCCTGCTCGGTAGTCTGGATGTCGTTCAGGGACATCCTTGATCCAGAGAATTCCATGTTGAGTGGCATCGGAATAAATGGCAGCTCATCAATGTCTTCGTCAGAATCTGAGGATGATGATGGCAAAGGTGAACTTTCTTTAAGGTGCCTGGGAACTGCGATGGAGATATGGCTGGAGGAATCATTCAGTAACTCAGGTATGGACCTCATGACCATTTTTGATTTATAGCTGATAAGTGAACGCTGTAAAAGAGGAAATATGGTACAGTTAAAAGATGAAAAATTATTTCTAGGCATTCTGAGTGTAATGCAAAATAAAAAACCAGAACAGGAAATAAAACATCCCTCACCTGCCATTTTCTGCGAGATACAAACTTCTTCAGGGCCTCTGTACTAATGGCCTTCCCCTTGCTAAGTATCTGTAAAATAAATAGACATTAAATAAAAAGAAATTAGGCATGGGATGTTGATCAGTTTTGTCAAGTTCAAATTACTGTAGAAAGTGGTTGTGGATGATCAACATTGTAGCATGAAGTGCCCCTGGCCTTGTCTTACCTTGAACCAAGGGTGTCGGAGACATTCCTGAGTATCAGGTCTCCTAAAGGAAAATTATGGCATATTTCAGTCTTTCAGGTTTGTACACATATGTTTCATTAGCTAGATGAATAAACTGTGATATCTTGGGTATCTTAAATGAAAAGCATCAGATGAAGACCTCATTAAAGTTGCAGACAGGGACCAGAGAACAATTCCATATATACACCAGGTATGAATTTGATAAGCATCTAGTACTGAAACAAAATCATTCACACAAGTGACTTTGTCTTTTTTTTTCATTTGATAAAGGACATTTTCTATGTGTAGTTATAAAATGGAGGAGAGGAAAATGTAGTGTAGTGAAAGTTATGACTGACAGAATGGTTGAAATAGCTTTGGAAAATTGACACATTATATATATATTATTTAAAATGTATAATCTATAACAGAAGAATAAGGAATGAAACATATTGAACAGACAAATTGCATGCTTCACGCAATCAGCTCATGTGTTAGTCAGTATACTTAAAGCATTTCCTGAATGGCTTGCTGCAATTATAAACTATGAATTTTGTACAAGAGTTTAACATAAAACAGATATTGAAAAATAGAGATCCAGCAGCGTTACTCACAGCCTGTCTGCTACTAGCAGTTTTATGATGAACCCTTTAGCCTCCCGGCAAAGGTCAGCAAACATGCTCTCCTCGAAGGCGACATTATAGTTCCTGATGTTCAGCACAGAGCTGCGGTCATTCTCACCAGCAAATGGAGAAACTCCTGTCAGACTTAAAAACAGAAGCAAATACTTACATTTAATGACAAGCCCACAGGTAGTCTGGAATAGGTAAAGTTATCAAAAACTGAAACTGATATTCTGCATGTTGAAATACATTTAATAATGAAGAAAAAATAAATAATGATAATAATGATAATAATGATAATAATAAGTTTACTCACCACAGATATGTAATAACTCCAACTGGCCTGGACAAATAAAGAGGAGAGTTAGAAAAAGGTGATGTGTTTAGACAAAACAAATGAAAAAACAAACAAAAAATTTTGTCGTAAATTCAATAGATTCTCTACCAGATGTCTGTTGCTTTTGACACCGGGGTCTGATTGACAATTTCTGGTGCAACAAATTCCGGTGTGCCATATTTGCAGTACTGCGCCTCATCAGGCGTGATCACCACGGTGTTGCCAAAGTCACAGATTCGGATCTGATCACCATGGGGATCTGCCATGAGGATGTTATCAGGCTAAAGACAGAAAAAAAACAAAACAAATATTGTATCATCTTCTGCCATCAGGGTAAATTTTCCATGATCATTTTCTTAATCTTTCTTTAATTCTTACTTTTTTTAGAAATTCATTTTTAATACAAACTTTATTTTCAAAAAAAAAAAAGATGATGAAAGAGAGTTAGTCTTTGCCAGCATCTACCTTGATATCCAGGTGTATGATGTTTAAATGATGAAGGTAGTCCAACCCCTCGAGCAGTTGTCTAATACATGACCGTACCTGGTGGTGCCAAAACACAAATCTGTCAGTACAGCTGTTATTGATTAGATCATTAAATTACATCAATTATATACACTTGATCATTAAATTGAAATTGATATTGAAATGTTGAGTGCAAGATTTGCAGAGCAGTCACAAAGCATAGGACTTACATCAGATTCCATTACTGTAGATTTCCTTATAAATCTGTCCAGCAGCTCTTCGTGACACCTTTAAAGAATAATTAAGGTCTAGTCTCTCTGAGACTTTAGATACATTGTACATCATACAGCTAATGTTTGTAATTCATTCACAGAATATATGGACGCATACATTTTTTTTTAATTTTTAAGACGACACAATGCATATATAATGCAACAGTAATAATATGGTAAGGATACATTTCAGTGATGATGATGACTGCATTCTTTTTCTCAAAGGCATCATGAAAGTAAAGGACTCTCTCGTGGTCGAGCTTGGAAAGCAGCTTCATCTCTCTCAGAGCAGAAGCCTTCCTCTTGGCCCGTGTGGACATAAACTTCGCAGCATACTCCATTTTTCCTACCTTCTGCATCACACGTTTCACATAGGAAAATGCACCTCTGGAGAAAAAAAAATATATAATCTTATCTCTATGAGAGAAAAAAAATCTGTCAAAAATAGCAAGATTAAGACATGAAGACATGAGGAAATACAGCCTCATTTTGGCAATTTGATAAAAACTGGTTCCTGTGTAGACAGTGCTTCTCTAGCACCACATAGCACAAAATTATGGGATTTTGTGGCCCTAACAAATGGCTTACCTTCCAATTTCCTTATGGATTTCATAGTAGTCTGTCAGTCTGCGCATCTTCCTTAGAATAGTCTCCTCATCGTCCACAGGATCCTCTTTACTTTTAGCTACGGTAATGGGAAATTATTCATTGATTAAATAAATTAGCCAAACAACTCCAAATAACTACATTGGAGACTGGGTGCTGATTCATGTTAGTTCCTTTACTTTGTTTGTCAGCTATGCAATCTGACTGATTGACCTCTTACCTTGATGAATGGTGAGTTCAGCTTTACAAGACACAGATCCTGCTAAGTTCCTGGCAGTGCAGGTGTACACCCCAGAGTCTTCTGTACAAGCGTTTAGGACCACCAGGGAACATTCGTTATCATCATACACAAATGTGTAATGACTGCCCTCGGACAGCAGGATATCATTCTGAAAGAAAAATGTAGGTTTCACCAGTAGTTCTTTAAGGATTGATTACAAAATCCTCAATATTTGTTTTTGGTAAATTCAGCCTATTGCATTCCTTACGTACTGCTGCACTCAGAGGAAAAGTATCAAGACTAAAAATCCTACTGTTTCACTGGAATAAACATGTGAGATGGATAAAAAACCTTGAACCAGAGGATGTCAGGAATAGGTTTGCCCTCCACAACCACAGCAAAGCGAGGGGTCTCTCCAGCACAAACATCCAAGTCCTCCATGATAGTTTCAAATGTTGGTGGAGCTGTGGACAGAAATATAAAGGCACAGTACCAAGTTACATTACATTTGGATGGATGGATGGATGGATGGATGGATAGATGGATGGACAGATGGATGGATCTACTGCCTACCTGCCCTCTCAACGCTGAAGGTGCAGCTGTCGCTGCCATACTTATTGGAGGCCACAAACAACATCTCTCCGATGTCAGCACTCTTCACTTTCAGCAGCTTCAGTGTGTGCTGGTCGTCATCTGGCATTGTCATCTCATACAGGCCTAGCTTGCTGGCCAGGACCAATCCCCTCCTGTAGAAAAAGGTTTGCATTGTAAACCAGGATTCATATGTTTAACATGTTATAGGCAGGATAGCAGCAGACTTTCACTGCACAGTTGTGGTGGATGAGTGGCTGTTGCTTGAGTGTAAGTCAGCACACAATAATAGACTTTTGTCACTGCACTGGAATGTTTGATAATCACACTGCCTGTACACACTGTCATACTTTATTTATGCCTGTCAGTCCTATACTCTGACCATCCTATAATACACTGGGTCCACAAGGTGGTGACTTTTCCACCAAATAACACACAAACTAGCTAGCTAGAGGTTATTACAGTTTTTTTGTTGAGATTAAAATAAAATAAAAAATTTGAATAATGACAAAAATACTGTGTACGCTGGAAAAAGTACCACAGGAAAATGCAAGTGAAGGGCATTCATGCAATGGGTTTTTTTTCTTTTTGATTCATTATACTTTGTTGAGTAATTCATTTGATAAAAATAAAATAAAGAGACAAGCGAGAAGAGACATTAATAGAAACTTGACAACAGAGACAAAGGTACCTCTTCCAGAGAACTGCAGCGTTGACATGATTGAGAGTAACAGTGATGGTGACTGACTGGTTTTCCATCACATATACAATTTCTGGCTTATCAATAATCACTGGAGCCTCCTGAAGATAGGGACCTTGAAGAAAATCAAAGTGCACACAGATAATATTAAAAAAAAAACCTTACACTACCTGATAGATGAACAGATGCTCTAAAAAGCTGAATGTACCTCGGTCCAGGAGCTGCACCGGGTCGGTGGCAGTCGAGGGCTTGCTGAAAGCCTTGGAGGTGATGGTGAGGACCCTGAAAGCGTAGCGCACTGCTTTGGAGAGGGTGGTGATGGTGTAAGTGGTCTCCTTCAGGCCAGAAGCTATGATGATCCACTGGATGGAGCCCAGGGCTTGTTGCTGAATGGCATACATCACGGAGCTGGGATCTACAAGAAAAAAAGTTTTTGATCCACAATGCTCCATCACAATGTTGGACTTCAAAATCTTCAAAAATTACAAAACAATTGTGAGGTCAAACTGAGATTCCTTTTGTTTCTATCATTTTGTCTAGAGTTATAGTACAGCATTTCTGAATTGTTGTATTTCATTGTCATTTTACTCTGTAATAAACACATTCATATCTTTTGTGTGTGTTAGAAGGCATTCTGTCTAATGTGTTTGTGTAATTGTCAGCAGTATTTTAAAAAAATACGTAATTTACTCATTTATTCTGGTGAATAAAACATATCTGATGATCATTCTTGCATACCAATCGAAGGGTCCAGCCTCCTTGGTTTCTTCCAGCTTAAGGTGATGGTTTTACCAGTGATGGATTCAATCACTGGAGTCCCATCAGGAGGGTCAGGGAGAATATCTGAAAGTGATAACAATGAAATCAGAGGTCCATAAATGTTTCTGATCTGCCTTTTCCCAAGCCTGCGTTACATAATGCATTGACCTATAACTGCATGTGTTATTGATCACAGTTATTTTATCAATGAGTTTTTTTGTTTTTTTAATTTATTGAGGTACATCGCAAAAAAAGTGAAAATTACCTGTGACATAGAGATGAGCGTAGCAGGTGGCCTTGCCAACTTTGTTAGAGATGACACTCTTGTAGACGCCACCGTGGGCATGGCACACAGAGCGGATGACCAGGCTGTGGACGTCACGAACTGCAGACAGAAGCAGAGGAGGGACGGTGAGGCGATATGAGGTATAGTAGTCTGTTAGCATCTTCCAACAAGCCTACTGTATTCAACGTGACCGCACTGACAAGGCAAATCTGCCCTACAAATGAAACTTGAAACTGATAGCTTTGACAGGCCTGAATATCTGGTGAATGTTAGTCCATTTTGAAACACTTACACTGTGTCATCTTCCTGTCCTCGGTGCTCTCAATCCTTTTGCCATTGTGGAACCAGACGATGGTGGGGTACGGCAAACCAGCCACTTTGCATTTGAGCACAGCCTCCTTTCCCTCGATCACATCCAGGTCGTAAAGGGGTTTGATGAAGTCGGGCATGGTGAAACGTTCCACCTCATTCTCTGGGACCTCTGGCTCTTCTGGGATGGACGGCATCTTCTCTAGTTTAGCCCTAAGAGCAGATAAGTAAATATGGACAAAATTGCAAGCTTTAGTGGCTTTTGCAACCCAGTGAAACACACAGGAGGCTACAGCCCCGACATCCAAGAAAGAACATCTGCACTTACATCTGCGAGGAGATGGCTGGCCGTGGCTCTTGTATGTAAAGTTCAGCGGAGCTCTCCGCCTCGCCATGACTGTTACGGGCTATGACAGTGTAAAAACCCTCATCATCGTTGGTCACGTGAGAAATGATGAGAGAGTGGCGGCCGCCCTCCTGAAGAATACGAATGTCCTCACTTTCTGTGAGTGGATGGTCTGAAGAGAAAGAAAGAGGTAAAGAAAACAAAACAGTTTGGTAATTTCACAAAGGCATAGATGTTATTGTTCTTGTTTGTAAAATTTCTGTGAGACTCTTAACTCTAGGTGATTTATCTGAAAGGGGGACTGTTTTCACACATCTAATGTAGAGCCTGAAGACAAAATAAAGTACCACCCTACCGAAGTGACTCCATGTGACCTTAGGAGATGGTGTCCCACTGACTTTGCAGTCGAATCGAGCATTACGCCCTTCAATCACTTCCAGCACATCCAACTTGCGAGTGAAGAGCGGTTCAGTGGAGGGGATGACTTTGAGTTTGCCACATGAGGTCACTTCCTCTGAAGAGTTCAAATTAAATTACAGTCACAGAAGAAAACAGTGAATAAAGCCCTTTATACTTGAACATCCCACATTTTGTGATATTTATTCTTGAGAGCTACCTTTGGCTGTGCTGAGCTTGCACATGTATGTGCCACTGTCATCCTCATGTACTGAGTTGAGCAGTAGTCGACACTTTCTCCCATCAAAGTGCATCTTACAGTTGAGCAATGCCGGCTGGATCAGCTTCCCATCTGCGAGCCAGTCCACATCGGTGTCTTTCGGTCCAATGACGTGACACTCGAACAAAACCGTCTCCCCAGCCTTGGCTGTGATGTCCTTGACCGGGCGGATGACAGCTAGTCCTGGCTCAACTGGTGGAGCTGGGTGTAAATAAAGGACATTTTCTGAAGAGTGTTGTTAGGCGATACCTGAACGGTGGTGTTGTGAACTAGTTACAGGTCACATTGAAACTTGGAGTTACGGTTGTCTAACAAGTTAACTTGTGTCAGGTCAAAGTCAAACGGAGCAAACAGACAAGCCGATTCTTAAAAACAACATACCTTTTACCTCCATCTTTCCTTCGCACTGCTTTGTTCCGTATTCATTAATGATCTTACAGGTGTAAATGCCAGAGTCTGACCTCACTGCAGACTTGATCGTCATTTCAAAATTGCCATCTTCTGTCTCACGTACAATATGACGTGGGCCTGTTTTTACTGTGACTCTGTCCCTCAGCCTACAAAGGAGCAGAACGAAGGGAACAATTGTTGCTATGTTTTGAAACAAGACACAAATCACTCATACACCACTCAGAGCTTTTCAAAATGAATTTATGTAATGAGGGATGACCAAGCACATACACTCCTTCAACTGAAAGCTCTCTCTTCTGGCTGGTATGGGGGGGGGGTGGGGGGGTGGAGGGGTAGATTGTCCTGGGCTGCCAATGTTATGTTTAGCACTTTCTTTTCTGCTTTTGTCTCTTGAGACTCATGACTAACTCCAATAACAGAACCTGCCCGAGTGATTCAGCCTATTCTTGTCTCCTGCATTAAAGGATAAGACATGCAGTAGTCTATATTTTTCTTGCTGTCAAACTTATTGTCAAACAAATCCCATGAAGACACAAAAACAACATGATGGCTCATCTCTCGGTGCTTTCCATATTCCCTATTAAGGCTATCGCTTTTTACTGCTCAGAGGTATTCCAACAGTTTCTCAACAGCAACGTGTGCCACAGCAATAAGCTACTGTATATCAGGGTTTGGCCTTCTTGTGGGATTCGTTGACAGTAAGAATATAGAATATCAGCCAGCCTTATCATATGAAGCTGTCCTCACTCTCCACAGTAAAACACCACTGGCTGGTGGAACATAAGAGGAAGTGCAGACTTCTTTCTCTCTTTTGAATGGCTTCAGCACTGCATGCAAATTCCAGATTGTTGTCTAAGAGCTCATTAGTTCAGCCAGACATTTGTGTTTCTGGGCACTGAGCAGCTCCATGGTAAAAAGGGAAAGCATTTTATTCTTCCCTTTTCTCTATTAAGACCGTTTGTGTCAGCCTGGGGATTGTTAGGCTCAGTAAACATTAAGTTTCCACCTCCCTTAACAGATGCATTAAAGCAGCATGCACAAGAACAAACAGTGGAGTCGAGTAAGCTTGCTCATGGATTGTGATTCTAGGAAAGTCTTTTCCATGTCCCTCACAAGCAATGAGTTTAAGTCATTTGATGAAGTGATAGGACCTACCAATAGAGCATGGGTTTGGGTTGTCCACTTATTCGGACAGACATGGTGACTTCCTGTCCTTCAATGACAGCTTGATCACTCATTGTTACCTGTTTGAAATGTAATGCAAGTTAGAGGTTGAAAGATGTATTTTTACCTGTAAGTTTTATTTTACAGATGTGCTGATGGGATGACCACACAACAGATAACATGTTCATACAGGAAAATTAATATCGATCAATCAAGGACATCCTGTACATAGCACATTTTCATGCAGCATTTTGCAACCGACCAGTCAAGGATGCAGTTGAGTAAGTGTCAAGGCTAAAAAGACAAATGTCATACTACAAGTCGGAAAGGAAATTGGGTGGCTTTATCTAATGAGCTCTGTAGAGTCTCACCAGGAATGCAGGGGGTTTCCTGAATCGTGTGTCAATAGTTCGCCTTGGCTCTGGCCCTCCAAAATCCATGCCCTCCTCCAGGGGACTGAGATACTCCTCATCAGATGTAATAGGGCTGCTGATATCCATGGGCACACCCAGGTTTCCTTTAGGCTCCTGTACAGGCTCTATAAAAGCAGCAAGATTACACTATATTTTAACTTCCAGTTCGATACAGTCCTTTTTATGAGTAAGTCCTATGTGAACATTTTACTTTGTATCTGTAAACCTTATATTTTGTTACTGAGAGCACGAGACAATGAGAACATGGGAGTTCAAGAAGTTCATGTGTTAAAAAAAAAGAAGCAACCCCTTAAAAAATCATTAGCATCTGAGATGTCAAAATGTGATATCCAAACAATAGTGGATTCACAGTGAGTGGAGCCACTGAGCCTCAGTGGGCAATTTATAGGTTCAGTTTTGCCTCTGAGTTGCTATGGTAACTATAAGTGAGGTTGTTCAGCTGGAATATATGGCACACACATTTTGTTCAGAGAGATAGCAACAAGGGAGCTGGAGAGAAACCAGCTGAAACACAATGCTATTGTGGAAATAAACCAGAAGATGTTTGTGTTTTTTTTTTTAGATGATTATTATGTTGGCTTGTTTTTGAATATATAGGGTATTCTTTAATTCATCTATGGGGCACTAATAAGAGTTATGCTGTATATTTGACAGACTACGATAACAATTTTCAGTATAGCTGACTTAATCCAAGTTAAATGGGCTGACTTACCTGCTTTAACAATAAGGGTAGCACTGCTGGAGGCTTTTCCCATCTGATTAACAGCAGTTACACAGTATTTTCCACCATCACTTATTTTAGCTGATTTGATGAGCATACTGTGTCGTTCACCCTCCACTTTGACTGTGTAATTTACAAAGCCGATGACGTTAGTGTTGTCTTTTGTCCAGGTAACTTGAACAGAGAAGAAAAAAAAAGACAAATAAATCCACTTGGATATCAATTACATAAGAGGTTTCTGTGGTTAAAATACAAAGTGCAATATGTTACCTTCAGGAATGGGGGTTCCAGCGATGATGCATTTTAGTAGCACATCTGCACCAGCAGATACAACAGTGTCCTGGAGGGGAAACTCAAATACAGGGGCCTCCATTGGGTCTTCTCCAGCCGACACATAAGAATCATCTGAAGAATCTGCAAAGTTTAACAAAAGACAAGCCTGAAGTAATTTTTTTCCCGTGAACCCCCCCCCCTAGTAAGGAAAGATTTCCAATATTTGATTGATTAAACATGAAAAACAAGCAGACTGGAGCTTCACACTACTACAGCAAGCTTAATGAGAGAAACACAACAAATCTAACCTAACTCTGGAGACATGGGTCGAGGGCGACGGTTTTTTCCTTTGGTCTTCTGCTGTTGTCCCTCTTTGGCACTAGTCGGAATTGGCTGAGGGTCACTTGTTTTCTGAGGAACATCTACTTCCATTTTTTCATCTTCAATAATAATGGTAGGGACTTTTATCTTAGATGTTGGTTTGGAGAGCTCCATTTCCATTTTCTCCTCCACTGGAGTGACTGGTGACATCCTTGGGGGTTTAGGAGGATGTTGAGGAGGAAGATCTTGTACAATGACTGTCCTTTTTTTTACCAGTGGACTTTCAGGTCTGTTTTCAATTTTTCTTAATACTACTTCTATTGGTGTCTTTCTCCCTGAAGTTTCATCCTTTTGTGATGTTTGCACAAGAGATTCTTGGATGTGCGGGGATTCCTGCATTCGAGATACTCTTTGTACAAGTGGACTTGGTGGCCTTCGTTCAACCTTGCGTAACGTCATCTCAGCAATATTTCCGCTTGGCGACTCTTCCCTTTGTTGATGATATAATGCTGGTGATGATGATCTCTGAATGATTTCTGTAACAGGACTGACTCTACTTAATTCTCTCACTGATCGTTGTCCTGGTAGGTCAGATAACTGCATTGACTCTGGGGTGCCTGCAACCTCTCCAAATCTACTGACTGTTACAGTTGTTGTCTTTTGGGGATGGGATTTATGCTGTTCTGGCTGTGTTTGCTGTTGTTGCTGCATTGGTTGCTGCCTTGAATCCTTTTCTCTCTGTTCCTTTGACCACTGGGTACGTTCCCTTTCCTGAAGCTTTTGGAGGACTTGGGGAGGAATAGGTTCAATTTTCCTGAAAGGCTGGCGCTGCTTGCCCTTCAGGGTGAGCTGTTCAGTTGAAAACGATTTCTTCATATGAGGTTTTCCAACAAGTTTCTTAATGCGTTGGAGCTCCTCGGTGAACTTGTTCTCAATGTCCTGAACTTTTTGAGAGTAGCGAGGTTTCTCCTCCAGTGAAGCAGCTCGTTGTCTAAACATAGATCTCCGCTCAGCAGCATCCTCTTTCAGAGCCTCCCTAAGATCTTCCCTTGAACTTTCTCTAGAGATGCCCAACCGGCTTCCTCCATCATCTGAATCAACAGATCCAGCACGATTGAACCCTGCCCAGGATCTTCCCGAGATGGAACCTTCTGGAATATCAAGGCTTCGTCTCCGCTCTTCTAAGCCACGGACCTTCTCAAAAACCTTTGAGCTTGCCCTGGTAAGCTTTGGAGATGGTCTGAGAGTAAATTCTTTGCGGGAGTACTCACTCAGTGGAGTCTGTGGGCGGGAGTCCTGGGTGTTACTTTGGGAGACAGATTTTGGTTGCTTAACCTTTTCTTCAAACTCCCCAGGCACTGTGTCTTGGTATTCAGTTGGCACAACAATTTTCTTTCGAAAGCTGAGAGGTGTCGTTGAACCAGAGCGACTTGGCATTGGAGAGGTGGAGGGGCGTTTGACGAGTCTTGGGGATGGCGGTGGGAGGACTTGTGGCGGAGAATCTCTTGAAAAATCCTCTGACTGACTCCTGAAATTTGAAGCAAAATCTGTTGGAGTCAGTAGGTTGTTACTAATTCTGCTGGGTATTGTATTTTAGTAGAGAATTTGAGTCCAATAATACAATGAGCACACTGAGGTCTTTTTTAAAAAGAAAATCTGCATGTTTCTTTCTTGCCTGGTTGTGTTTGAGTGATCCTCATGTCCTTGTGTTCTACTATCATCTTCTGCACATTTGTCCATCACTGCATCTCATGTAAAGTGAAGACAGGACAAATTGTACATGTAAGGAATCAGGTATTTGCAGGGCAAATCAATATTTTAATATAAACAATGGATCAAATGACTAACTGTCTCTTGTAGTGACAAACCCACAGAGAATTTATCATCCAACTCTGCAGTTCCCGCCAGCTCTACAGTGAATTTTAGCATCTCTCAGCGTGTTGTTTTGGTTTTCCTGCCTGCAAACTCTGCTCTCATCAATATTGTGTCCAGCCAAAGCAGGCAGCTGTTTTCACCAAAAAAGCTTTAACTGACTGCACACTACTTACCCATTAACAAAAAGACAGACAAATCTAGTGACTATATGCCAAACAAGGAGCAATTAGCAGCTGAAGAGCCAGGTATTTCCAAATTAGGTCTAAAAGCTTAGCAAATGTTAAGCTTACATTCACCACGTACACACAAATACCACTCCAAATAAATGCTAACATTGGTCCGTAAAGTTTTACATCTACAGCTCATTCCTCTGGACCTAAGCGGCTAAAAAATTAATCATGAAGTAAACGCTTCCTTTGACACATTTCATAAACTTAATTTGTCTATAAAGGTTTCAATACTGCAGTGAAATGAGGAAATAAGCAAAACAGAAATAATATATCCACCTATAATAAATCTAAAATTGTCTACAGGAAAAACTGGAAACTGCAAATTGTAAACATGGTGGATACCTGTATGCACAGCCTGGTCCTCAACATCCCCAACATCTTCTTTGGTCTCAAATTGGTCTCCGCCTTCATCCTCTGTTGTTTCGGAATCTGAAAAAATAAACAAATATATATATATTTTTTAAAAACTAGAAAAGTATTTTCACTGAATTAGAATTAGGTTTTAACTGGAGCAATGTTTCAAGAACACTATTGTTTAGTAAAAATAGTACAAATAAAATTAATGCTTGGAATAAAAGTGCAAAAAGAATCAGTGACACTGGTCACATCAGACACCAGTGGAAAACAATGTTTCCATAGTGGCAGCTCCATACTATAGGAACCAATGGACTACCTTATCCTATTCTGCTGACTGGTGGAAGGCAAATGAAGATTCCCAGTGCACGTTGATGGTGGTACAACTGCAGGCAGCAGTGAGACAGTGAATTCTGGTGTTGGTAATTTATTTACAACAGAATCCCAGTTGTAAACTTTCATCAACTAAACGTTTAGTTTTTATATTTTTAGTTTATTATATTTGACTTGAAAAGTTGTCACCCTCAGGGTCTCATTTGCACAACTAAGCTAATGTACTAAATTAGCTACAGTTGAATTGTTGCTGAGTCTTTATAATTTATAATTATCTGATCATCAGCAGCAAAATAAATACAGAAGTTTCATTATTTTCAGGAAAAAATCAACTTCTTGTTCTTTTGATCCTTTTTAAACCTAAAAATTTGTTCCAGCTGTATATCAAAGATGTGATTGTTTTTCTCAGACTGAGTGAAAATTCAGTCACTGGTAGAACTCAAAATAGAAAGCACTATTGAGTCACTGGCATCCCAGCAGCTCTCATGAGGTGTTTGCTTCACAGTAGGTGGAATTACAGAGGCTATCTGTTGTTCCGTTGCAGTAAAAGAACACAATAGTACAATGTGGGAATGCTGATATTAATTCAGTGTCAAAACAAAATCTACCACATGTTTAACAGCAGACACTAAAGTTTCACACTGCTAAAAAAAACAAAAACAACAACTTGTGAACTCTAAATGGTTTACATGATGCATACTGTATGTGTCAAGCTCATGATGTTACTCATGGCTATAAAATCTACATTCATAACAAGTTGCATTACACATTCATGAAATATTAATAGCATATAACTCCATTGCAGATTTCAAACAAAAACTCTTTTAGATGTTTGCTGTGCAATCCCTTCCCAGAATACCACATAATCATCCAATAAAGCAGTTAGAAATGCAGATGTTTTATTTATGAGCATGTCCTATATGCCACTATGAGTCTAAGATAGTTTTACATAATGTTTATAAAAATGTACAACCATTTCCCCAGAGCATTCATAAGCATTAGCAGATGTAGACCAAATCTCAAATAAAATGACTATTAAAAACATGTCTATTGATTAAACTGCTGATCTTGTAGCCATGTGACAGGCTGGTAATCTGGGTAACCAAGTGATTAGTGTAACCGGTAAGTGTTAACCATGATAAACCCCTGCCTGTCTTTAATCTTTCTTGATTTAGAAGAGAATACATTCTAAAAACAGCCTGGTATTATGAAGGGTAATATAGCTTTGTGGGAAAACTGACTAAAAAGGAAAGGTAATATGGAAAAAGGAGACAAAGAATGAAAACACACAAAAGCTTTGGGCCATAACATGGAATGAAAAATGGAAAGTGCTTTCTTTTGCTATATATTTATCATAATTATTATATTAATTACGCATAGTTTTTTGCTACACCCAATTGATCAAAAGCTTTCAAGACAAAAAGTAAGATATATATGGTAGCTGCATTACCCTTGCAAGGTTGGTCATTATAATACTGCAAAGGCTAGTATTTGGGTGGTACTGTACATGCTACATGAAAGTGTTAAAAAAAACACCTTGAGTAGTAAGCCAGTTTTGGAAGAAGCCGCAAATAAGACAAATAAGACATCACACACACTTAATTAGTTTGGCTTTTCAGGGGTGTGATGGCAGTGGTGCATTATAGGTGATTGCATGGAGTATTGCTGTAAATATCCCACTATATTCCCAGGGAAGAGTCACTCTGCAGTCTCTGAGAAAACCACAAACCTCAAGTTGCAGCTTCCAAAGTGCGATTTAGTGATTTTGTTGAGTGCATCCTCAGTGTCTTTAGTTTTGCCCTCTTTGTTATTGTGACATTTTTGAAGAGGGGACAATAACAGGTTTTGTCTTTCAGTTATCCTTTTGAGCAGTTCAATCCTGCTCATTTAAGATTCACACTCATATAAGGGTTAGAAAATGTTTAGAGTACCATAAATAACTTAAAAAAAATGTATTATGTGACAATAAAGAAGCAAATAACTGTGCAACATTAGTCTGAGAAACATCGGTGTTTCAACCTTTTAGTGCAACTCTGAAAGTCTTCTTTTAAGTTAGTTCAAAGCTACAGCGTGGCGGTGCCTCGAGCCTCGTGATTTCTAATCAAAGTCCTAATTCTACTTTCCATTGGCCACAGCCACTATATTCCACAACAACACTGGTCTAATCTAGTTTCCCTTTCTCACAAAGGTTCTACAGAGCAGCTTCATCTCCTTTAATCATCTTCATTGCATCTGACACTGTCTGCTGAGAAAACATTGTGTGGCCAGTTGTTGAGTAGTAGCGTTAACAAAACGCTTGTCAACATTCAAAATGAAATATCTCACAGTCTTGTCAGCTCCACATACAATGAAAATGTAAGAGTTATAATTGACAAATATGAATTGAAATTGCACTTGCCTGATTTTTTCTTTGGTCTGGATTTTTTTCATGGCCACTGTTGGTATATCCTCGACAAACACCTTTTGTCTTGGCTTACATTCGGCAGCAGGGTATTCCCCATGATAGACTGGGGGTTCCGAGCCATTACTATAAGCCTAAATCAGAAAATGTCCTATAAAGACACCAGCAAGTAACATCTGACTTGGATGTAAAAGATTCAACTTGTTATATACTGGAAGGCTGCTAACATGCAGGTAAAAGCTTCTCAATCAAAAGCAAAGAAAAAATGGAAGGAAGGCACTTTGGTCCATTATATAACAAGTTGCACCTCAGAGTCTCAGCATTTCTTCTGAGAGAATCCGTTTCTGAAAAGCACAAAGCAGAGACCTCCATCCGCAGGTGGAAATGTCTGTTGAATGCATATCATCCACTCTGAGGGAGCCCCCCCTGTCCACACAATAGCCAGCGACAGTGTAAGCATCTTCCCCCGCTGCGTTCCACCCCACATGCAGTGCACAACGATAGGCAGAAAAACCAGTGGGAGTGATCCAGCCCTCTTGAGATCAGTGTTCTACGGCATTGGTTGACATTTTTCATTTTTCCCTTCCTCCCCATGTGTCCGTGTCTATATTCTTCAACTGGTGTAATGAGCCGATGTTGTGTTGCCGGCAGAGAAAGGGAGAATCGCTGCAACAGCTAAAGGGACCTCCTCACTCCTCTGCATTGCTGGAACACTGTTCGCTCTCACAGCAAATGTGTTACTGGCTGCTTACACTGACTACACAAAGCCATCCTCTGCCCAAGGGATATGAGACATTTAATTGCTGTACTACACTCATAAAACATAATACAGCTATTGGATTCTATTGTACATGACAATTTCAGTTGCTGCTATTGTTTGATATATTTTCTGTAATAATTCTTGGTTATCCTGTAAATGTTATACATGATACGTTTTGAATGATTCAGTATCTAAGACTTCCTGTCCCTGAGGGAAAGGAAAACGCATTTCTGCTTACACCACCAAGAATAATTCAGCACAAGGAAACAGCTACACTTAATAATGGCATTTCACTTCTGATAGCATCACACTGTGCTCAGGACAAAATATTACATGAGCATACAGACAGTCTGCTCACACATGCAAGTAAATTCATATTTTTAATAAAACCTAGGCACTAAATCTTATTTCACAATGTTATACTTGAAGATACTCCAATAAAAATTCATATACAATTCCCAACTGTTGCACATTGTGCAGTAAGTACACAGTAATTATCATTTTCATAATTGCAGATACCTACGGGCTTAATTACATGCTTAGATGATTATGTAATCTCGGAGTGGCTTTTTGTTTCCTTGGCTGCTGCTCTTCATGTGGGCCTTTTCTGTTTTTTGTTTTTTTTGTTGTTTTCATATATGAAAGCAACGTTAATTTAACAGAGAGGAAGTCTGTCATGCTTCTTAGTCTTGTGACAAACCAACGTGATGTTCTTGTGTTAGCGATATGCTTTGTCACAGGTTATGTACCGGAATTATAATTAATGCTTGTGTATGATTGTGTTTTTACTGTAACTGTAACTGAGTAATGTGTTTTAGACTGAAGTGATATTTTTCAGCATGTTATCACCAGCACATACGACAAATGCAGAGACTGCCACTACGTCCAGCTTTTCTTCTTGTTTTCTGGTTATGATCCCATATCCAATATTAAAATGACTCACTGATACTAAAATGCTAAATATGGCACCTTTAATGCTGTGTTAACATTTCTATTTCTTCTTTTCTTTCTCCAAAAATCAACAAATCATCATTTTTAGAGGGATTACTGCCCAACTCTGCAGTCCCTGCCAGCTCTATGAAGCATTGTAGCTTCTTTTAGCTCATTGGTTTTAGTTTTACAGCCAGCAAATTCCTTTCCTCTGATGTGCCATAACAACTTCAAAGGGCAGTAAAGTGTTAGTGCTACGTGTTTATCAGTTTGATGTGGTCTCAAAAATGGCCAAAAAGATTAAGAAATTCACTTTTTTTTTTACGCAACACAATCAATTAGCACTTTTGCTTTTCTTTACTGTAAAGAGCCAAGGTGCATTTTAACAGAGGAGTGTGCACTCGGGCAAAAAAAGTTTCTGTCTTAAAGAAAAAGTTTATTTCTTTTTATGCAATGTTAACGTGGCTTATTTCAAATGTTTCTAATTTGTTATTGTTTTTAAATGCAATTTTAGTGTTGTCTTCATTTTTTATTTCTAATGTATTGCCATGCCTCTGTAAAGCACTTTGAATTGCCTTGCCTATTGTGTATCCAGAATCTGCTTTTTGGTTTGTAGCTGAAGATTAGTAGCATTATTTTGTAAAATAAAACACTATATTTAAAAAAATATGGATTTTGTGTCACTGTCTCAGCTTCATGAGGTAAAAGGTAGATTGTAAAATTGTTTTCACTGCAGTTTGATCTGCATCAATTACGCTGTGACTGCAGAGTGCCTATGTGAGCAATGTGACTAAGTGTTAACATCAATTCCCACAAAATAAGGGCAAATAGTTCAAACTAAATGTCATATTTATCATTCCACACTGTACAAAATGGCTACTGATCTCTAAGAGGCTTAAGACCTGGGCTAGATTAAAGCACTGAAACCACGTTTACCCATCTCTATGTCTTTCACTATGAAGCAACATGGTGATGTAGGGGATTTCCACAGTGTAACTGCAGCTCCACCTGTTCAGTCACGTTCATGGTTCAAGAGGAAGACAACACTGAGGAAACTATCCAAGCACACTGGACAGGGGCCACGGTCACACTCAGTGGTGACATCTTAAGTTCTCAATAACAGATCTCTCTGGATAGTTTAAACAGGCATTACAGCTTTCTATATAAAACCACTATAAGTTAATGAGATGTTATTAATCATCCAGACAATCACACAACTCTGTAGTTCCCCTCAGCACTGTTCAGCTTTTTAGCATCTTTTAGTGCATTGTTTTAGATTTATGGCCTGTAGCTTACTGTTTCAGCCTTAAACACGACCTTAAATGATGAAGCTGATGTTGCGGTGTATTGGCTGGATGTGTAAAAATAAACCATATGAACGGAAAATTTGATTAGTGTTCTGTTTACAACTTGTTACTGCTGCCCCACGTGGTCAAACACATTCTAACCAACTAATCAATACTTAAATCAACAATGGGTCAAATAGTTATGTGTAATGATCAAGGTGTCACTTATAGTGACAAACGCACAGAGAATTATCACCCTACTCCGCTGGAGAACTCTACTGTCTTTCAGCTTGTTGTTGTGGATTTACGACTGTGACTTCGCTGTTCCCGCTTGCTCTCACTGCTCTTATCAGCGTAACTTTTAACTCCAGTAGGTAGCTGTTTTCAGTGAAAGAGCTCTGATAAACCCACTGTACGTTCCTTGCCTTGCAACATATGGTTATTAACTAACTGGATAATACAGAGGACTATATGGAGTATTTTTTGCCCCCAAGTAGCAATCCAGGTTTTAGGGTTTAGGTTTCTTTAACATTCATTTATCTATCATGTTCCATTTCTTTATCCATTTATCCATTAATTTGTCAAATGAATGAATGACTGATTGAATAATAAATATGCCCTTACACATTAAAGTTACTTGAACAGGTGAAATGTAAAGTGGAAATCGAGACAAAATACCTATAAAGGTGGAACTGCACGATCCAATGCAAAACCTCAAAAGAGGATAGGGAAACAGTACGAATCACAGAGGATGCATGACATGGCACCATGTGGCAGACATCTTTATGCTCTTGGGTATTAAATAGATGTTGGAGACTCAAAATTGGCATATTCCCTGATCAGTAGAGGGAATAAAACAGTCATACAGCGCCAGGCTAAAATTAGCAGTGATGTCTTCCTGTGTAACAGGAGAGACGCTGGCCTGCTAACATCACAAAAATCTAAGGCCTGGCACATTCCACTGTATAAATAACTAGGGAGAGTTGGTGGACGAGGGGGGCGGGACAGAGAGACATTTTCAAAGCAGGAGAGAGAGAGAGAAAGGGTTCAGGCAGTATCATTGAGTGATGGGACAGCTGTAGACTATGCACACGGCAAAGCAGCAGAGAGCTGAATCAAACTGAAGGTTAAATGGAGAGTCAAAGGAAAATTCTCATTTTTAAAACCTCGGTTGAAGATTTTTGAAGAGTGTTGATAGGATTGTGACTAATACTGAGGGGCTACCACTGTTGCTGATATGCAGTATCTACACCACTTATGTGGCATTAAATCACATTATCTATCTAGTCTGACATCATTTTGATTATACCACAACACAAAATGTCCATAAGCTTAGGACTAGTACAATGCTGAATGACTATAAATGCTAGTAATGTTCTTGTTTTGATGAAAATCTTAAAAATGACAGATTGATTTTACTTAAAACAGACCCATGTGAACTACTTGACTGTTGTGTGTCTGCTTACATGAAATGACTTTTTTATTGTAATGTCCTTTATTGTAATGTCTAAAGTTATTGGTGCTTGTGAAATTAATGGTAGTACGCTGTATCTCAAGGATGTGGTGAGAGACCACTTCTGTTATGTTCTGTATTTCCAAGATGAGATGCAGCAACACGTTATTAAGGTGTTGACACAGAACTGAAAGCAATGCACAATATATAAATATCAGTGCGTGTAAGTGTGTGTGTTTGTGTGTGTGTGTGTGTGTGTGTGTGTGTGTGGTAATATGTACTATTATATATATATATATATTCTATTATATATACTGTGTATATATACATGTATATATGGAAATATACAGTGTGGTTTCTTGCTTCCCACACCAAAATGAATCCGCGTCATCACATTGTCCCTTCTGCAGACCTCACCATTCTTTCAGTGCCCAATTTTTGTCCTCGCCTTGCAATGAGCATCTTGTCATAGCTTAAAACCAGCAGGCATTGTTATGTCGATGCCAAGTCGTATTTTATACAGGATCCAAGAATCAGCTATCATTTCCGAGAACTTTACTTCTGTTCAACTGATTGAACTATATTCACTCAGCAGGAAAAGACACATCTAAATTGAAGAAAGAGTTTCCACTATACACTCACGCTGAGCACTGCAGAACAATGACAAAGTGCCTGAGCTGAAATATGAAGGGCATATTTGTAGAGCTGGTAATGTCATTTTTCAAAGGAGCTGAGGTGGTCAAAGCAATCAGGTGAGCTGAATTTAGATCAGCACTGGCGCTGGAGGTTTTGTTGATCAGAATGCAGGTCTTTGAAACAGAGAAGAGCTGTACTGGCCTTCAGAGCATCCTTGCTAGACACTGAGGAATCTGATTTAAATACACTCTCAGAGGCTTGATTTGGCTGGGTCTGTCAAGAATGATTCATTTTCAATGGCTCTGCATGCATGGTGGAAATCTAATTAACTTTCTCTCCAGATGCTAATCTCTAACAGCTAACAGATAGTAAAAAATGCAGCCTCTTATTAATATAAAAAACATTTAGATTATAACAGACTTCCAGACTTTCTTAAAATGCATTGCAGGAATAACATACTGTTATGGCATCTTATAATATACTTGTAGACAAAAACAACATCTATGGGCATATTGTAGAGCAAACCAGAGTCTTTGAGCTAGAGTTCTATATCTAAATACAATGCATTTGTGTACTGTATATGTATAAATATATATCAAGGCCCTGTGTAGTTACTTTATGAATTTAGTTTCCTCTATTTTATCCCTACTGAGGGTAGCATCACATCAATAAAATCTAATCATTCAATTATTTAAATCATGACTTGTAACCATGTTTTTTTTTAATGCTTGGGGAACAAAAGTTCAAAAGACAATAAACATTAGCGCTAAATGAACATTGAAATATGACTATGAATGTTTTAACATCCAAACAGTACCTACAGCAGATACAGTAGTTCATGTCCTCATGGAGATATTAGTCAGGATTATCATGTTATATAGCAGGAAGAGGAAATGGAAATTAGACAGGTCCTACATTACGGGTTCAAGTTCTTGCCACTAATGGGGACAGGGCCTTTTGGATGACTGGCATGCTGGGTGATTTTCATGGAAGTTACATTAAATTATTTTCTAACTAAAACTGAATGATTACAGTGATCTCAAGCAATCATGTTATGATTAATTGTAGAGTGAGAAAATGATCATCAGTTATCAGGGTCTCTAGGATAAACTATAGGCTTTGTAGTTCTTCCAAACAATTAAAAGCAACTTTCGAAAATAAGTTAGGTTACTAAATACCAAATAAATAGACCCCACATAGAATGCTGCAATCTTGAAAGAGCTAAATCCTGTTCATTAAAGAGTCTGGCCAAAATGCAAGTAAAACTGATATTACCTTCACCCAGATCCAAGACAGCAAGTACAGCGCTGCTCCGAGCCTCTCCCAGGTGATTATTGGCAATGCAGGTGTAGAGGCCAGCATCACTTGGTTTGCAATCCCTAATCCAGAGCCCTCCATACTCCTGGTTCTCCATGTTGAGGAGGTCCTCATTGTGGTACCAGTACAGGGATGGCTGGGGGTCTCCAGCCACAGTCACCTTGAGACGGATGTCACAGCCTGTCCCTACGGCAGCGTTCCTCATTTTGCGTATAAAAACAGGGGGAGTTGGGTTTGGATGACCAGTTCCTCGAGGTTCTGAAACAACTTGCTCTGGGCTGGCTTTGGACCGTTTTGGGGGGATGATGGGGCTTGGGGGTGCCGCTGCTTCATCTGCCCCTTTTTTCAGGGTCATCTGCACCTCTGCTTTTCTCATGGTTGAACTGATTTGGTAGAGCCTCCAATGGATTCTGTAACTCTCTAACTAAATTGTATAACTATAACACTGACTGGGCCCTCGTGTAATATTCTAAACCAAAATTCAGTCAGGGCATTGGTGTCTATGAGCAGTCTTTAATATAGGCTACATTAGAGTTAGCATGGATCTCACATTTCTGAATATAAGATAGTCTATACATTTCTTTTACCAGGAAAAGCAGATTAAAATATTCAGAAGCATATCTGTCATGGATAAATTCTTCTCAAATTCCTGGTTGCTGACTTCAGTTGTTGTCAAAAGAAGAAAAAGAAATAGTTGATTACCAGGTAATTAAGCAGATAGAGATAGCTGCCTCTCTCCTGCCCAGAGGTATTTTTAGGGCAAGACCCACTAGATCATGTTGCATTAACAGCTCCCTTGACTTGTCTCTTGAAAGTGACGGCCCAGCTTTTTCAACTCCTTTTCCTGGTGTTCTCTAGCTTTTCAGCCTTTTGTAACCATCTCCCAGTAATGCGTTACTTCTCTGCAGAACAAGGTGTGTGCGAGTCTTCTGTGAATTTCCTTTTATTCCTAGCGGCCTTCAGGTTTGTTCTTGCTTGGCTTCTGATTGAATGTAAGCATCAAGTCCTGTCCAGAAAGTTGCACAGTGCCCCCCCCTTCTTGTCCCATGAGCTAAGCCACCCCACTCATGATCTCCCCCCCTACCTCTGCCAGTCAGTCCGAAGGGGGAAATGACAGTCACAGTCCAGCAAGCCTTACAATGACAGCTGCATGGCGATCCGTCTGCCCACTCACTGCTAAGCTCCCGCCCCCTTGTCATTTTTAGCCAACCTGAGGTCAGTAGAACATGTGAGATGGTGCAACACTTGGCACAGAGGAGGGGTTTGTCAGTATGGGACAGATATTTAATTTGTAGGTCAAATGTAGAGAACACAGTTGGCCTCCCAGTTGTGTGGAGGTGGTCAAATGTCATAAAAAAGAAAATATTATCTCTGAATTAATACTGTATGATAGGAACACTGAAAATATTTGAAGTGTTTCCGATGTTTTTTCTGGGCTGATTCCAATTATCAGTATACCTACATAAAACTACTGCTACAAAGTCTACGAACAACCGCCATGATGTCCAGGTGTTTCTATTATTTTTGTCCTCCCTATTTATATCAATAAAGGTAAGCTAAATAACAAAAACATCTCTCTTTATAATGCAATACAGCTGAGCAGCACCACACACTACCGAACATTATAACCTTCATGAAGGAGAATTTATTGCTGGACTGGTGCATTAGACTGCATTAGTTTTAGATAAGTGCTCCTAATAAACTGGCAACTGATTGTATATTGGAATTTATTGGTTGCTTTCGGTTCTGTTCTCACCTCGGAATGGCATATATGTATTGATTTATCAATGCATATATATATATATATATATATATATGTCTGGTAGCCTAAATATGTTCTTTTATAGTTTTATCTTGCATTACTAGTATCACCTTATAACATGTTTTATCCCTCCTCTCCCCTCTTCTGAAAATGTAACGCAGCAACATTTATTAAGAGTACATTTTACAAAAGTAATTTCACTTCTATTTGTGCAAAATTTCTTTTAAATAGCAGTAGTGAGAGGCCGTTGGCGTGCTAAGGTAAACCAATGCCTCATTTCCAGTTGCTGGAGTTACTGTTACTGGTTGCGTTTTTCGCTGCTCTAACTCAACCCAGTTAATGTTACTATTTTCTTCATCACAGTGACTACATACCAATGATTCTGCTGAAGGAATTATACCTCTCTCCTTCTTTTAGAATCTTTCTCGCTAATTCCACAGTTGGTTTCAGGCTATTGAGATCTGCTAGTTACTTATTTTAGCAGTTAGCAATGGCTTATCTCTCTCCCTTTCCGACTCTCTCTTGCTCAGTGTGTTGTCAATAAGTCTGTGACGTTATTGAAACTTCAGCATAGAGTATTGTGAGCTTCTTCTACTTTTGCGATATCAGCTGCCTTACCTTTGATACAGCTCCAGGCCTGGCGTGCACATGAATCTTCAGCGTTGATAGGCTATTACTCGTGACGTATAACCAATCAGATGCCCAGATGCTGTGGGCGGGACATTGCCAGAGCTACAGACTGGGAGGGGCGGCTACGTCACAGCCATTGCTCATTAAGCAAACGGCTGTAACTGTTTTCGACAAATCACCGCCGTGCTAATATTCAGTAAAACATCACTCCCTCTTATGTGATATTGCTTTTATACAACAGTTCTACGAGCGCCATGTTAGTTAACAGTAATAAGCAAACATATTGTGATCTGTTTGTTTATTTCATCATTTATTTGGCTACGCCGACACAAATAGTTCCGCAACTGGACTGGTACTTGACTGTTGCTAAGCGACATATTTTCCTGACCTGAACAGTTCACACTAGCTTGCTACTTTGTCTACAGTACACGTTACCTCAGGTGTGCACTGAAGTATCCAGGCGTCTTTTACTTCATCCTTTTATGACGACCATACATCATTTAATTCAATTTTTATTTCTGAAAATATTTTCTTCTTTGCCAAGTTTGTTAAAATCTAAAATAGATAATGGCCGTTAATGTAACGCTAATAAACGGTAATAGAACACCTGTAAAGCAGAGTGATACATGTAGTTAAAAGTCTCAGTGTTGTTATACTCATCAACACTCATGGAATGCTCGTCCAATCAAATTATTCGGTCGGAACTAACTTGTATAAATTCAACTGTGATCAGTTGATTCAACTGTATGGTTTGCTCGAGGGAAGTAGGTTTTGGTGCCGTTGATCTGAATTGCGTTATATGGCTCATTTATGTTATTTTTTCCATCCCATATATGTCAGTTGAGATAGGCTAAATAACAATTAACACCTGTTAGTAGTTGTTGTAGTAGTAGCAGTATTAAATATGATAATTACATTACCTAATGTCAACAGTTTGTCTGTTTTTTCTACAAGAAAAAATGTTCCAATAAAGTCTATGCATTATCCAGAACCACTGGGACACTTAGTTCTTGTTAGTTCTGATTTGGCTTTGTGAGATGTATTGAACCTGAATCTACAGTGGAAAGACTAATGTAGTAATAAGCAAAATATTTATCTTCTTCGTCTTTTGTTTTACAAGCAATGCTGCTGCACTTCGCAGAATTCATTCTGTAATCAAGCCCCATTTTAAAGGGAATTTCTTTTTTGGAAAGTCCAGTTATTGCTGCAGTGTTGCAGTCATCACAACTTCTACTATTTCCAAACAAGATACTGTGGCTTTAAATATAAAAAAAAAACACTATTTGCTGGATTAGTTCAAGGTACATAGCTTCTGTAAGTTGTTAACATTAAATTTAAGATGTTAATCATTGACACAGAGAAGTGCACAGGTTTATATTAAACTTTATTGATGATTTAGAATATATGGAAAATTAAAATAATTTGGCATGTGAACAGCAACCTGCTGTCTTCAGCTTATACAAAAAACTCAGTCTAAAAACATTTCAACATTTCAAGACTATAAAAAAATGTTTATCAAGTTATACAGTATTATACAAGGTAGTTTTATGTTTCTGCTCTAGTTGTATAGTTCAACCTATACTGGAAGTAAAATGCTGTTTCAAAGGACAGAAACAGTGGTTTGAAAATTTGTATCACAAAAAATGGTCTTGATGATTATTATAAGGAAAATTACATCAGCAAGATATTTCACCATCTAACACTGAATTGTGAATTGTCTGAGCGCAATATCCAGCTTTTACTGGAGTTTCTGCTGCTTCTCAAGTTGTTCGTCAACAACAATTTTGTCTCTGTGTTGTGACATAGAATTATTGTGTTGAAATATTGTCAAACGTGACATTGAAACTTTTCAAACATGTTTTACGCAGTTTCCTCAAGCTATACATGACTTAGGACACACAGAAGAGTGAAATAGTTAAACAAAAAAAATTGAAAGTGTTTACAGCTTAACTTAACTTAAGCAACGTGGTAAAAACACTGGATTGTCAAAACCAAAACCAAGTTAAATAACATGAAAAAAATAAAGTATGAAAACATTTACAAATTTTAATAAAATGTTCAAGGCACCTCAAGGCAAATTTTGTAACTTTTAAAAAACCTGATTTAGTTTTTAAAAAGTCCATCCCAATATAAGCCCAATATAAGCTGCAATAAAAAAACAGATCATTATCCAAATGAGCACTTTGTTGTCCAACACTTGAGATCCTGCAGTAAATACACAGATGTAATCAATTTATCTGAATAGTTTAAAGTGTCCCTTTGGTGTTCTTACATGAATGTGGATGTGATCTCTGATGACAGTGAAGACCTGCTGCTTCTTGACACTGATGCTCTCTCTAGAACACCTATCTTCCTCATTATCTGCACCAGCCTCCTCCTGAACTTCTCTCCCACAAAGGCGTACAGCACCGGGTTGACACAACTGTGAAGCAGGCCGAGACTCTGAGTGGCAAACATGGCCTGATCCACCGCCATCCTAGCCGGGCAATTGTAGGGCACAATCTTTGTCCTGAAAAACGAATCAGTCATCACAGCGATGTGGTACGGAGTCCAACAAAGCAGAAAGGCAACCACGACCACCACAATCACTCTCATGGCTCGTTGCCGCTGAAACCCCCCACGGATGTGAAGGAGGCGCCGGATGGTTACTCCATAACAGGGCAGCATGATGGCCAAGGGGACAACAAAACCCAATGCATGGCGAAGGATTCTGGTGGCCAGGCGCCACTCGTCAGCACTGCTGGGATCATACAGTTCACTACACACTATGTGACTCAAGTTTTGAGAAGAGTAAGTGGAATTGAAAAGTCCTGGCAGAGACAGGAAGGCTCCAACAACCCAGACAGCAGCACAGACTCCCCAGCTGACCAGCTGGCGGTTACCCTTGCGGGCATTCATAGCTCGCACAATCACCATGTAACGGTCCATACTGATGCAAGTCAGGAAGAGAATGCTAGAGTAGAAGCTTAGCTCTTGGAGGATGGTGATAATTTTGCACATGGCATCTCCAAACACCCAGCCCTGTGTAACGGAGACGGCCCAGAATGGGAGCGTAATGGCCAGCAGGATGTCGGCAACTGCCAGGTGGAGGAGGTAAAGGTCAGAAGGAGTCAATGACTGTTTGTTAAGGCCAATCACCAGCCCCACCAACAGATTTCCAGGAATCGCCAAGAGAAAGATGAGGACATAAAATGTACTGACCACAACCATCACTGCATCTGGGAGGGAGAAGAAGTCACAGGGCTGCGTTTCGGGGTCTATGATGAAGTCTGTGTAGTTATATGTGAAGTTGAGTTCATCATAAATGGGGCCAAAGTCAAAGGTAAAAGAAGATGTGTTTGGATCTGAGTACAAAAACAAAGATTTGATGTTAGACATAAAATATATATATCATGAAATGATTATAATTGTGATAGTTACTTTGTAACAGAAATTAAATGCAACATATTCTTATGTGAAAAAAACATTCTATATTATTTCTTTTAATGAACCAATAAAACATAACATGTATTAAAAGTAATAATCATAGCCTACTGTACTTCAGTCAGGATACTAGTGAATATCCCTTTGCCCAAATGCAAATTAGATATTCCAGTTGGGCATTAAGGGATACAAATATCCAACTGTGTGCTATGAATGTGTGTATTAAATAAATCAATTTATCTAAATTTAAATTAAAAATGTATTCTAAGGATGACAGTACTCACCAGTCATTGTTGTGTCGTCTTTGTTGCACTGACTATGTGACTATGTGGTCAGGAGACTAGGAACAAACATTGTGTTTCTCTAGACTCCTCCCATCACTGTAACCACGGGTCATTTTCCTGTTTACCACATATACAGACATTTTTATTTGCTGGAGTTCAAAAAGGAAGAAATGATTAATACATTTGCTCTCATGTATGAAAACAAATGTATCACATAATTTCTGTAGATGTGGTAAACAGTAGGTTTGTATATTAAATTATATTTTTATTTTGGAATTATTCACTTTAATTGCATTTATCACACAGTATACTCAGTATTTGTTTTAGGTTACAGCCATATTTCTTGACGGGTGTCTGTTTAATTATTATTTATTTATTATTAATTTCCAATCCAATTTTTATTCATGTAGTGAATTCCACCATGTACTAACTTTTTTTCACATTTTACTTGTTCATATTTTAATCCTTATTTTTAACTCCCTTCAATTATTTTCTACGTAAGTCAAGTGTTTGTTTACACATCAGTGCTAAATATTTTCAATAGTCAGTTTGGTTATTCCTGAATCACAATATTCCCCCCAGAAATAAACCCAAGCCACATTATCTGAATCATCGGTGTCATGGGATGTGTCACACTGCGGGCAAAAGTGAAAGAGAAACCACTAGTTGATGTGAAGTAATGGAATTCAAAATAAACACTGGATGAATACAGATATTCAAGAGTTTCAGTATATATGAGAAATGTTGAAGTGACATTGTTATTTCAGTTTTAGTTCTCTGATTTTGTAACATATCCAGTTTTTTCATACTCACAAATATAGTAAAGATAAAACCAGATACATAATTCTTCCACAAATTTTGGAAACACTAAATTGCTTAGTGCAGCGCCTACAACAGCTGATGAGAGCAACAGGCTGAACCTGTATCTGTGAAATTAAAAATACTGTAAGTCAAATGATTTGACTACATCTTTCACTGACCTATGCTGCTGAGAGGAAGTTCCCAGCTCATGATGTGCGTGTGTTAACATGAGCGTCTCACATTTCTTGCCACACTTCTCATGTGTTTCAATGTGAAATGTCACAAGTGCTGCAATGTTCTCATAAGGGGCAGTGGAGGTAGATAAACATGTTGCAAACATATGGTTAAGAGGAATTGTGGGGTATTGTGAGGAAAAGAAATGATTGGACTAAACTTAATATTAGACCAAAGTTTTTGAGGGCTTCATTTAAAAATGATCCCAATTAACCTATTTTGATCCTGCATTTCATATAGCTACAGGTTGAACACAGATGAAACAGTATGACAGATGCTTCTGTTTCTAGTCCAAAATACTTGGCCACTTGTATGTTATATTTTAACATCTTTGCTCCCTTTCATGCCCACAGAAGAGCATTGGTTGTTTTTTGTCTGAACAGATTCCTTTGTGAAATTTGAAACACACAAAGGACACAGTAAAGCAGAAGAGAGTGCAAGTGCGTCATATGTGAAATGGGGTAACAAACATACGCAGACCGTAATGTTCAGGTGCTTGGTGCAACAGAGGATGTGGAGAAACACAGGCTTTTGTTGTATGCAATGCATGGTTTCAAAACGGAATACCAAATGCAAAGGCTTTTGTTATAAAAGTATAACTCTCACTGTAAGAAAGAAAGTAAAATAAATAAATGAATAAATAAATAAAAATATATATAGTTCTTCCACCTCATATTTTGAAAAAGCACCTTCAAAAACAAATGCAGTTTATTTTTCTAGGCACTAGATGGAGCTGTAGCACAAATTCACCACTTGAAATTGGATGGGTGGCCTATTTCACATTTGCAAGTGACCACATGGAGCTCTGCAGGAAGTAGTTTCAGTTTAAACCATGATGAGTCTTTAGAGGTTACATGGGGAGGGGGGGCTTGTGTCCAAACAAGCAAATTTGTGGCAAACTCTCAAACAGACTACAGAAAACCAAATATGGCAGCAAAGTTACTGTAAAATTTATTTGGTGAACCATTTTTGCCAGTATTTAAGTGGTCCCACCTCAATGAAGGTACAATTGATGGCAAACAAGAAGAACATGTCTTATGGAAAAACAGTCTAAAAATTCAAAACTTACACCTTTCCTTTCACAGAGTCACTTCGGATACAGTTTGGTTAAGAGAGGGAAGACCCTTTGAAGAATTTCACTTGTGCATTCAGTCCAAGAACTCATTTTCACTAACTTAAGGCCTTTTCCACTAAAAAGCAGAAACTGATTTCCTGATTTAAATGACAGCCAAGTTTGCCCCGACATAAATTAAGAGAAGAAAGTGCATCGAGTGTTCAAGTAGGGTGTATAGTTCGAACAGGGAAGGGGGTTAGGACAGTGTGTGGGGGAGGTAACACTTGCAAAGAACTGGCGATTTGCAGTGAGATTTAGAGGACAAGGGTGTAGACTGAGAAGGCTGACCACAATTCAACAGTCAAGGCTTGACTATACAAGAAGTCCTGCTAGTGCATCAAGTGGTAGACCACAATCACACTTTGCTGCTTGCTGAGAGCACTACGCATAACAAACACCACATATGACTTTGTTAGCCTGTATAAAAATTATGCAAATAGTCCCTAATGTAATTCATTATTTTGAAAGCCAATAGAGGCTGTGATCGGGAAGGCTCAGAAAGGTTTAAAAGGGGGAAGGGGAAATGAGGATGTCCATAATTTTCCCCACAATTCCCCCTCCAACCCCAATTTCATCTTTTGGCACGGCGTGGGTCCCTGCCGTTGCTAATGGTAACTGAGGACTTTGCAGCTGTAGGAGGTCCAGAAGCAGGAGGTGCTCCATTGCCAGGTGACCGACCGTTGGGTCTCCCAACATTCCCAAACGCAGGGTCACGGGGTGCCCCAGAAGGTGGGTTGTTGTTGGCAAATGGCGGCATGGCACCATTACCTATGGGTTGAGAAATACAAGTAAGTCGGCAAAGAAAAATATGCATCTTTAAAACATTTCATCTGTCATAGGCCTTTTAGCATCTAAAAAAAAGTCACAGCGGGAAGAGCAAAGATATAAATAAAATTAATCACAGCTTAATTCCATGTAGCTGCTTCAGTTTCACGGTGCTGGTATTGTTCAAACTGGCTCACTGCGACACACTATAAAAAAAAAAAAAAGAGCCATTTTTTAAATGTTATTAGTAACACCTGCGCTTTTCCTGTACGATGAGTCAAAGTCTGCTGATTTTTCAAAGCCTATTCTACTTCTTATTCTGCTAACAATTATGACCACTGTCTCATTTCGGATTAATTTAAGCAAATAAAAATTACATACTGCCTTTCATATATTCAATTCATTTAATTTGATTTCATCTGTCAATCTTTCAAAATATGTCAAGTCTTTTGTAATACTGCAAACTACCTCAACCTTCTACACCGTTCTTACACTGATACCATCAATGTGTACCATTCTACAGAACATGGACAACCCTGCTGCTTCCTGTAAGTGAGTTAACTGATGGCTATTTGAATAAAGGAAAATATACTGACCTGGTGGAGCAGGTGTACCTGAATTCTGGTTGGGCGGAGAGTTTCCCCTCTGATTCTGGTCTGGTTTACCCTGTTACAATGGTGAAGAGAATATTACTTTGGTGTTAGATTACATTGTTTCTGCACCACTAAACAGGCCAAATTACCTGAATAAATAGTTTTTATGTTTTTCAAGTTTAAATGTAGGTCATGAAAAAAAGGAGGTATGTGTAAAAGGTATCCTATACATCAGCATGGCCAGGGAGGGATACTAGCTGTGCTGGTTTCTTTTGAGAATATTCTGATCCACGTTTTATGGGGTGTTTGATAATGAGAAGTTGGAAGTGGGTGTATAGCTACTCACAGACTTGTTTTGCTGGTTCGGTTGGGCTAGCAGCTCTGGGTTTGGTTCACTGAAGTTGGGCACTTCTGAATACACCATGCAGAACCTGGGGAGACAAAACCCATGTTCTAACACAAAAATCAAGAATGGTGTTTTTGACTGGGATGAAATACATTGTTAAAGATGTAGATTTGAAATCTTACAAAAAGGAAACCATGTTTCAAAACCCAACATGTTACTGTGAAACTTCACATAATTCTCTGGCCCTGCATGATGCTTGAACAGGGAGATATGACATCTGTAATTCCAGCAGGGACAAGAACTTAACTGAAGTATAAATGGATTTGTGGCCAGTTACTCACTCTCCAATCTTCTGTAGATCCCCTCCTCTTCCAGTGTATAGGGTTAGGCACCCTTTCCATATCGATGCATAGCTATCACAGAAATCAGATGTTAAACTCATAAACAAAATATTACTAATCCTAAATTGTAATACTAAGGTGCTCAGACACATAGCCACCTTTCACCTTCAGTTATCTATGTGTGCATTGATCTTTCAGTAAATACTACAAGTCTAAAAGTCATCTGAGCAAGTTATGTTCATGTGATCTGTTTTAGTGTAGGAACACTACCCTCTGGTCAGCTTGATGATGTCCCCTGGCTGAATAAGGCTGCCGAGTTCATCCCAAACAGAGATAGCAATGCTCCCACTCTTGTCTGCCACCTTGCACGAGCGCACCTCGTGACCATCTTTCGTTTTGGTTACTCGTCCTAATGGGATAAAACAAGGATAGGTTAAATAAAACAGTCAACCTTCTCAGAACATCTCTAACCCTAGGTTTATTATTTATTAATCTATTTCAAAATTGATTTAGAGGATGAACCCCTTTAGATGCACCATCTTGTTTTAAACAGGGTCCTCAAGGACAAGACATTGAAGTAATACATTTACACAAAATTAAGTAGACAAATAATAATGATAAATTAAACAATCCAAATGTACAAACTGAAGAATCAAGAAAGACATGTGTCCCAAACCCCACATACTACATTTATTGCAAATGTCTGTACAGAAAGGTGGTCATAAATCAGAACAAACACTACACTACACTACTACTACACATATGTCAAAACACTGACATTAGTTGTCTAAACGAAAAATGAAGATAAATACTTTCAAAAACAAGTTAACTTAAGATAAACAAGTAAAGAAGTCCTGACATCATGTAAAGAAGTAATCGAACTGAATGAGTGAGGCAAATTATTCCAGTGTGATGGTGCTTTAAACATAATCAACATGTGTGTGTGTGTATATAAGTTCATTAAGCATCAATCCATGTTGACGGTCAATCCTACTGTAAGTGATGCAAGTAACGTTATCACTGGCCCCTTTAAGAAAAAAGACACGAGTTGATGGTATGGGAAGAGACGCACTAGCGTCACTGTGCAGTTACTTACCTATTTCCAAAACGATGAATACAATATTCAAATTTTTCGACCCAGGCTTCACATCCTTTATCAAAAACAAGGCCTCGTTTGTGGGGGTTGCCATTGTTAGTTTCGAAGAAAAACAATCACCCCTCGTTCACTTCCTGTCACTTAAACTCAGCAGTAATAAGAGCTGGCTGGCGTCACTTTGTAATGGGTAGCTACTATGTTAGCTTTAGCTCAGCTAACTAATTAGCCTGTCAGACAAATGCTAACTAAACCGTACTCCAAACACTGTAACGGTATCGTAATTGGGCCAACACAGGTCAGCTTCTTAGATAGTCGACAGCAATCAAGTCAAATCCCACTAAACGCTTGTGACACTGGAAAGAAGTGAAAGATAACTGCCCTCTTCAGAACAGCTAACACTAGCCAGGCGACTACTTCGCTAAACGTTAGCTAGCACGCAGTTAGCTACCTTCTTTTTCTTTCAGGATATGAGCCTCTTGGCATCTTTCTTTTTACGATTATCGCCATAATGGCAGCTTCATTCTTCGTACATAAGTTAACATGACAAACCGCATTAATATGACTGGTAAGCCCTCGACGAGTTAGCAATGTAGATGGACAAAATGTCAGATAAAATAATATTAAAAGGCTGACAAATCCAGAATCGCGAGACAAATCTGAGATGTTTCTGTTTTAACAAAGACCGATCCACTGGCTTAGTTACACCAGCGCTTGAAATATTGACTGCTGCGAACTATCTGGAGATAACAGTTATCTCCCTAGGCCATCTAGACATCTCCTGGTAGCATTAATATATTCAAACCAATCGACCGCATTTCCTTTGTGTGTCTCTTTTGAGTATAAGGAACAGTTTGCTTTGCTAACGCGCAGTCTGGCCAAATGTTGCTAGACGACTAGTGTGACTAACTGTGGCCACTATAACGTTGCAGTCGTTCGAAAAGCTTTATATTAAATGCCTGGTTATTGATGCCTAAATATTACTAATGCTCAAAAACGTTATTTAAAATCTATACAAGCTGTACACCACACGATCTACACTGCTGTGACAATGCCCCCAAAAACTACGTCAGCGTGTGCTGCCGGTCAATTTTGTATGACTCGGCCAGTTCCATTATCCTTCGTAGGGAAGGGGGATACACATGGAAATTTCTTTTTGCGCGCTCTTAAACAGTCAAGTCGACAGATACTGACAATTACCAGGCGTCTATTTTTGTTAATACAATGCAGTTACAAGTGTAAGCAGACAGCGCACTGACGTGTTTATAGAAAAGAAAGAAAGTGGTTGGTTTCTACCGAATGGATTCCATTCACTGACAACGCGAGAATAGAACATGTATGAGATTCAACTATCAACGATGAAACTAATGATAGTGTATTTTTTTTTTTGACATGCAGTCACATTATTCATTAATTTTATGTCATCGTTAGTTTGACCATTAAATGTACAATTTATGTTCTCAGTCAGTCACAGTGGTTGAAGCGATTATGCGTCCAAATGGTTCGTTGTTAATCATGTGTAAAATACGTTACAACATAACATTGCGTAGAAGTGCAGGTGGTTATATTTGCCATGTGTGTAAAGTCTTTACGGAATCAAACAAGCAAAAGGTATGCCGTCACGAACAGGATTCGAACCTGTGCGGGGAAACCCCATTGGATTTCGAGTCCAACGCCTTAACCTCTCGGCCACCGTGACAATACATCATCATAGGAGAACCAAAGCAGTTTTTAAAGATATAATTAACAATGATAACAGAGTCACTTTAAACTTGCATATTCTTACATTTCAGAGGTGTGTGTTTGTTAGCTTGCTACATTGCAGAATAGCAACGATAATTAAGATGGAGAATATAATGAAAAAGCACAGAGTGGTGGTGTGAGTTCAGACATAAGAGGGAGACAAACACCATCAAAACACGTCGGCTCATCAACGGAAATTGAGGGAAAACAAACTTGAAGGCACTCCTAACACACACCCATAGATGACATATCAGTGTGTAACAACAGATAGCTCAGTAGAAAATATGCGTACATAGAGGAATGGGAATCCAGAGGGATGTGGGCTACAATAGCTTTAAATTGCCTTTATGTTTTTTGTGATTGTCATTTTCCTGTCCTTAACTTGGTAGAATATGTAAAAGGGAGGCTGCAATTGCTTCCCTGTTCCCCCAGCATATACACAAACTGTTCAAAGCCCAGCCATTGCTTTATCAGTCATTGTGTCACTCTAAATCAAATAAGCTAAACCACAAAGCTAAAATAACATATGACTGCCCAAATGAAAGACTGCACTGTGACATTAATACCATTTGAAAACACATTCTGTAACTCACAGGATATAAGAATAGAAATAATTGAATAGGACCCAAGTGTTAAGCATGATTTTAACTTGACCAACTCTAAAGCTAGCAAGCCAACATTACCTTAGCTAATGCTTATTGTCAAGTGCAAGCTAACTCCTATGTGCAAGCTAACTCCTACCTATGCAGGTAACACTTATTTGTAAAGTAAACTACAAACTACAACTGTACTTTTAATTAACTGATTTAATTACATGAATGCAATACAAACAATTTCTGCAGCACTTGTTGCTCCACAGACTCCAGTCTGAACAGATACTCTTTTAAATATGGCTGTTGTTGCTCCATAGAGGGACGTTTTCTACATGTGCACTGTTCCCAGGCCATGTTTCTGTTCCCTCACCTCCCCAGACCTAGTAATTATAAATAGGTAAAAACAAAGCAAAACTCTTAATGTCTAGTTTAAAAACCTATTTAAATAGTAATGTTAACCCTGTCCTCTCTCTCTGTAGTAAACACGTACTAGCTAGCTAGCTAGCTAATTTTTGGAGACGGCCAACAGTGATTGGCTAGCAGCAAAGATGGAAAAGATGGTAATAGTGAGACGTGATTGGACGAGATTATACAGTCTCTCAGTTCACACACACCTGGTCCCAGTTTCTCTTTATCTCAGCCAGTATTTATACCAAACCCTTTGTCCCCAGTCAGTGTCAGATCATCCCTGCACATATTCCAGTTTATTTTCCCTTGTATTTCCCTTGGGTTCTTGCTCTGTTGTGTATTTTTCCTGTTGCCTCTGCCTACCCATGTTCTTGTCTGTCATCTTGTCATCTCATTTGTAGTAAGCCTAATTTTCTCCATATAAGAGCACCCACTGCATCAATACTGCCATGTGTGTCTATGTTTTGTGTCTTCCCTGCCTCTGTTGCGACCATTGTGACAGTACAATCTGACCAAATTTGGACCCAGGACAGTTGATAATCAACTGTCATAGACCCTCATGCTCCGATACCATCAGAAAAAAAACCTTTGTTGGGAGTACGATGAGGCTGCTCTTAGGATGGCACACAGGGAAGTATACAAAAAAACTTGATTAAATAGTCAGCTAGTTTATAGTCTGCATCCCCGTCGGCTAGCCTCCAGTTTGCACCTCAATCCGCAGTCCAAGTCAGACCCTGAGCAGATGCTCTGTGTATTCCTGTGTTGGAGGTTCCAGCCAATGTCCTGTCTGTTCCTGCATTGGGGTCAAAGCCAAAGTGAATTGGGAGTCCCAGCTGACATCTTGTCTGTTCAAAGTCTCGCCCGTTCCTGAGTCTGTTCCTGAACCAGCCATCTCGGTCGATGTCTTGTTTGTTCCCAAGCCTTTTCCTGAGTTGACCTTAAAGAAACATAAAAATACAACAAAACATAGTGGAACAAACTGTTGGGCAACTATGCATAAACATTATACTGATACATCGGTTCATACAGTAATGGATCAGTCATCTTATGAGGTCATAAACAATACATTTTTCCCATCAAATCATAAACTGTACCCAAGTGCAAATAGTCACTGCCTCAACAGCTACATTTTTTTTACATCCAGAAACAGTCTCTCTGGATAATCCACTATACTGGATACTATATGGTTTTTAATATGGACCATCTCTTCTGTAGAGAATGGTTTCAAAGGAAACTGTCTTTCCTAGTAATTTTCAGACCAACTCCTAGAATAACAAGTTGCTGTTTAACTAGAATTTTTCAAAGATTTGAGCACCAAAGATGAAATTCCTTTTATCTTAGTAGTAATGTGGTGGAGGCAAAAATCTGAGACGGATCTCAAATCCTGGGCAACAAGCATGTAAGCTATTTGCAGGGTTAGAAAGTACTACCCAAGTACATGAAAAAAAGTGTTATTGTGTAATCAGGGTGAAGCAGCCATTTATTGTGGCTCTGACCTCAGCACCTGTCTTAATTTTATATAAAGCACTCTGAGTCGACAAGCTGTGTGGTGTAAGTAAGAGTTAAGCAACTGAACCATTCCCTCCACTGAGATTAATCCTCCACTAACCTGTTACCAACACTGTAGGTTTACTAGATCACTGTGACCTAGTCATTTCCAAACTGCTGTAATCAAATTTATGTGAAATGTGACATTTATACTCAAATGAAGACCACAAACAAAATGTGATTGTTATAAAATCTTTATTGATGTATACAATACTAAATTTTGAAAGTAAATTCTGGAGGAGGAGTACATTTTAAACACTCAAGTGGCAGGGGAATTTCTGCTATGAAGGAAACGTCTTTGGTTTAAGTGGTTAACTAAATGAACAGACTAAAAAATAAAAACAAATATGACATTAAACACAATATTACTACCTGTGCAGTAGGTATATGGTGTTTGAACTGTATAGCAAACCTCACATACGATCCAGATTTAACAGTGATTTTAACACAAATAAAAACAGACATGTAAACACATACACATGTCTAGATATTTATTTCTAGATATTAGATATATATCTATATATAAAGATAGATATATTTTTTTACATACGCAGACATATCACCAAATTAACACATTTGCATAAGCAGAAATGCATCAAAGCCAGTCACATTTCAACCTCTACATTATAGAGAATGCACACATAAGCCTAGTGTTTGATCCTTTTTCAGTAATTTTATTTATACTAAGAATTAAAAAGAAGCCTGACTAAGCACATTTAAAATAAATAGGTAACTAGTAGTTTTAAAATGATTTATGTCTCCTTACAGATCCAATTGAGTAGACTGGCAGGTTAACGTTTAGAACACATCAAGCACTCGGAAGGCTTTGAATGCTTTACTTTCTCAAGTACTGTTGAAAATATTTCTGTTATATGCACTGTATTTTTTGTATTTACCAGACATCAGTTATAGGAAGTGATTTCCTTGCATAAGTTTAGATATAATAAAATATTGTGGGCACTACATTTTGACTTGAAAGAGTCAAGAATCTTTAGAAGCAATATAATGGATGTGGGGTAAGTGAAACAGAGGTTTCCCAATCCTGCAGTGCCAGCATTTCATTCCTATACCCCCCTGAAACATATTTCAATTCTCACGGTCTAACACTTTGCAGACACCTTTCTACCGAGTTGCACATATGAATGACGCAGAGACAACTTCAACTTTCCAACAACTGACGTCCTTTCTCAAACTTCCCATCACCCACATCCTCATGCCCAGGAGCCTCTACTGGGGCAGAACACCTGTGGCTCCAGAGAGCATCTTCCTCTCTGTGCACAGTCTCGACAAGGAGGCCAAGAGCATGAAAAATGGGCTGAGCAGTGGTCATCTGTCAAACCTAGGAGTGCTGTCCTCTGCCTTTATCCACTTCTGTGACCTCTATAGTATCTGGAGCCTTGGCACCTGGTATCACTTGCTAAATTATTTTTAGGGAGTTATGGCATTAGACATCTGTAACTAAGGCTGGTAAAGCACTAAACTATGTGCAATGAGAGGAAAGTCACTTTATAGAGACTTTAAGATATGACCTCTAAAACATGAAGTTGATTGTGACACATGTATTTGCACCTCCTTTAAACTCAATCATTCTCATTCTCTGGTATCAAACCTTGAGTATGCCTTATAAAGTGATAGCTGCAAGGAATTCCTCAGAAGAGGGAGAAAAAAACCTTCGGGCATGTTTTACTATCACTCTTATCTAAAAAACACAAGTCCATCCCATCAGGCGTGCATTTACGCATACCAGCCTGTGCAAGGTAAAGGCACTGCAGGAGTATGTGTGTGAATGTGTCTAGGTGGAGAGGCTTTAGTGGTGGTGTCCTGGTAAATGTATGTGAGATGGTGTTTTGTCTTAAACATATGAAACTGAGTAAACATTCCCCATGTAAGTTATGGATACCTGAAAGTAAAAGATGACTTATAAACACCCTAGTATCATAAAATAACTCAAAAAAATTTACAGACACCACATTTACTGTGTAAATGCACACACTCATGGCAGTTATCATAAAGTTACCATTTACATTATAGTGTATAAGGTGTAAATACCCAGAGAGTAGTGTGCCTCATATAGTAAATGACAAAAAAAATTCCTATACATAAACATAAAGTTGCCCTGCAGAAAAGACAAAGGGCTGTAATATGCACATTTAGCATGTCAGTATTAAAACCTGCAGGGTTATTTGTGTCAGTAAAATATCTCTCCAGATCTAGAGTAGCTTCTATGCTGCAGTGTCCTTCATTTGCATCAGTGTGACTGAACTCAAACATATTTCTTTTATCTTTCTAAGGAATATCAAAAAGGTGTCATTTGCTAGAACATTTTGACTATTTCAAATGATTCTGTGCTATTCTACTTTTCAGCGATTCAAAAGGGTAACTGTTGGTGGTCAATTGGCAGTTACAGATTACTATAATATTACCATATGCAACTCATAGTCTACTCTAGGTAGGTCATCAACGATAAGGTTCGATTGGAAATAATAAACTGGATCTCACTAGTGAAGTAACATACAAATTTGACGACTGCAGGTGAAGGACAGGAGACAAGACACAGCCACTCAGACTAGTGAAGTTAGTTAAGATCAGGGTGTTTTCAGCACAGGTCCAAAGAATTCTGTAAACAACCTCCAGTCCACTACAAAACACCCCAGGCCATGTTCACTGAAAACCTAGAAACTGCTCATTCCATCTCTTGCACAACCTGGCAACACACTGCCTCAATAGGCTGTGGGCAGTGGCGCTGCTGCCAAAGATTTACTATTTTTCACGAAAACTGCAAAGAACAAAGAGACTATTTGTCAGTGAGGAAGGGAGGTCCAGAGGCAGACAAACACAGCAGGAGGGTAGATAGTTGGCCCACCGCCCTGGAGATGAGCTGCTGTTGAGGTGGTGGGCACCAGTGGATGGGAGTGAGTTACGATGCACTGATGCAATGTTGCTTTCAACAACAACCAACTAGAGAGTTTAAGAAGAAGGTGTAGCTGTTAACCTCATTGCTTATGCGGATGATGCGGTTTTCAGACGATGCTGGTAAAGATCAAAGGCAGCGTTGGAGGAAAGGTCCAAGGATGGTATAATGATGGTACGATGCTAGGAGGCTGACAGTATGATTCTTGTTTATATGGGTGTTCATGACAACACAGGACTGTTTACAATGGAGGGATGATTTGCGCCTGCTGGGTGTTAATGTAAAAACTCGAGGAAGAAAAAGAAGAATGTGAAATTAGAATAGAAGCTCAGCAAAATCAAATCACATTAGGACACTTGCTGCACAGCAGTTGTTGCTGTAGGAATCTGGGCATCTGCTGCTGTCTCAACGGGGCTGTTGAGTTTCTCTTCATCTTCCTCATCATCTTCTTCCTCGCCAACATCTTCATCGTGCTCTGGCACTGCCAGGCCAGCACAACGATCACCATTAATCTCGCACTCGATGTTTGGTGGTTCTCCATTGAATGCCAGCTGTGCCTTCATGCTGTCTGGGGTGGAGGGGCTCAGCTTCTCCTGAATCTCCTCCACAACGCCTTCATGGGTGTGCACCTCCGCCAAGGGAATCTCACCATCTAAGCTTCCCAAAGGAGGAATCTCCACATGGGCTCCTTCCCCAGGTGAGCCCACGTCTTGTGTGGGGACCTCACCGTCTCTGACCTTCTTCACGTTGAAGGTCATGGGGGACACCTTGAATGAGGAGGACTTGGCAGTTGGGCTCTTGGGGTGGTTCGGGGTGAGGCTCTTCTTGAATTTCTCACGCTTCTCCGGCGGCACAATCTTGGTGGTGATCTGGGTCACCTTCTTCTCAATGCTCTGGCGCGAAAAGGCCTTCTTGAGGCTGTCGACCTTCTTCAGGCTGGAGCGCTTGAATTTGTCAGCCCTTCTCTCATATGAGCGGGAAGTACCCTCCAGCATCTCTTCTTCCTCCTGGTGTAGTGCAAGCTCTTCTTCCTCATCTGAGGACAGGCTAATGGTCTGGAGACCCTCCTCTTGGGCACGGATGCCGTCAACAGAGCCCGCAATAGATGGAGTGGGCCGGGTGGACTCTGCATCATACTGGCTTGGTTGCGGGGTCTTGAGGGAGTCCTTGACTAACACACTGGAGGGGATCTCATTGTCTTCCTAAGAAGAAGAAGAAGAAGAAAGAAAGAAGAAGATGGTTAAAAGGATGGCCATTTGGATCAGTTATAAAAAAACATGACTGCTTGAACCAGGATTTCATTTCATGAAAATAAGGGGAATTCAAAGATATGTGATGATGTGTCGATTGTAGTAAAAGCTTTGCAACTTGCATTTCAATGTCTTTGTCTCATTTAGTTATGGTCGAGGTTAGACTTTTTTTTTTTCTTTTCTTTTTTTACCAGTGCATTCAGAGGAATTCGTGACACTGATGACTGAAGTGTAAATCCAAACACACATTACTCACAAACACGTCAATGTATACTTCTGGCCATGGCCTTTAATACACTTTGACATGTTAGGTTGGTCTGGACTAAGGAAACCAGTTTCAGCATGCCTGCCCCGGTCGTTTCCTCAAGACATGTGAGGAATTTCACCTGTCTCTCTGCAGGAGTCACACACTTCTCTCCATTTTCACTGTTTTATGTCTTTCTCTGCCCCCCCCCCCCCCCCCCCCCCCCCCCCCCAGAGGGAGCCATGTGAGTGGTTTTAGTTGTTGGTTGATTGCTGTGTAAGCATAATATGTTCTTCTACGTTTAATATGCTGTTAACCCTCTGAATATGTGAGATCTACTGCTGTTTTTTTTAACTACATGTACAGATCTATACAGTAAAATGACTCAAGATTTGAGATGTTGCATCTTGAGGTGTTTTACCTCATGATATGTCAAAACCAAACACCAGTGTCGGCCCCACTCACCCTCAGTACATGTTGGAATTACATACATTTTAATTACTAGTTGTTTCTGTGCATCATGCATGTAAGAATGAGCTTCCATTAAAGCATGCATGGCAGCTCTTACTTTGACATAGAGGTGCTTAAAGTGACAGGATGCCATAAGTAGTTGGGGGCCTGGCTACTCAATGCATGTTTCTTGGGATGTCATGAACACATACTTAAGAACTGGGCCAACCAGATGATCTAAAAGAGTCCTGCCTCCTGTCCACACATCACTCGTCACCAATGGTGTGTTTGTGTGGAAAAGGACAGTAGTATTATGGACGCAATCTGTCAAAGGAAACTTCTTCTAATTTTGACCCACTGTTGTATTTTTGAAGTGGAGTAGTGGTGAGATGAAACGATATAGTGCCTGTGACAATTATAGCCTGTAGGATTTTATGTGGCAAAGAGACTGTGATTGACAACAACTACTTTTTCACCACAACCCGATCCAAAGGAGTTCACAACACTCCTTTAAGACACCTTAACAATATCATAGTACATGGACAGTTTTGAAGAAGTGGAAAGCCATGCAAAAAACCGTCCTGTTTTCCCCACCTTGCTGACACTTGATACCTCTCCCCTTGATCTCAAACATGCAGGCATGATTCACAGTTCAGGTGTGTGCCAAGCATGTGTGGCATCTCCCAGCTAATGCTAATAAATCTGTTTTTACTACCTTAAGAACAGGGCCACATTTTCTGCTTTAAAGGGAAAGATAAGTGTTTCAGAACTTTAGATTACACAGCATAATATATGGTAGAGTTGGGCTGATTACATAATTAATCATTGAGGTTGATAAATTGCATACTACTGGTGTAGAAGACAAGTTTTTTTTTTTTAATGTTCCTCATTATAGGTAGCACTTGAAAAACATGAAAGAACTGCTTTTCTGAATATGTGTTTATTTAACAACACCACCAACAACCACTAGAGGTATGTCATTCATCCTAAAAAAAAAAAAAAAATGATGCACTCTGGGGTTTGTAACTCGAAATCCAAAAACACAAAAGGTAGCACCTTGGGGAACAGCTCTGGTTACCACCACCTCTCATTCGGTTCAACTGTAATCCCTCCCTTTCAGTTTTGTTCTCCGTAGCTCCCGCCTGTCATGTCTGAATCAGCAGTGTCTGAATGCCCCATTTTGCTGTTGGTCTGACGCTGCACCACACCCACAGAGACTGTGTGGATCCGAACATGTTCGTGCAAACTCAGATTAGAAAGTCAGGAACTGTGTGAGTGATAGCTTTTGTATGAAAAACACTAGAGATTCTGGAGGAATACCAGAGAGGGTGGCTCTAGTTGGATCAGACATCATGCTTATCTCCCTCTTCTGATGAAGTTAAACAGTTTTATCAGCATCAAGTGTGAGATAAGGTTAAAACACTCAGGTATCTGACCAGTCATGATTAGAAAATCACAGCTAATATAGCCTCTCCTGACCCTCAGTGGAGCGTTCCCTTATGTGCATATATAAATATACGTACATTATATATTATATATATACGTATATATTATATATATATATATATATATATACACACATACATATATACACAGAGTAATCTTCCCTAATCTTCTCTGGTTGTTTGGTGATGTGAAGGTTTCTAAAAGATTCTATCTTCACACCTCTGCTCCAGTCTGGGCATGTCATAGACTTTCTGATTTGGCTCAAACATGTTTGATATAATCAGTGTGGGTGCTGGGGCACATGGACGGCAGCATCTGAGAAACTCAAACACCTTTGAATGAGAACTGAACCCTCCTACATACTGTACTAAACCTGCTACAGTAATGCAGTTTGAAATGTTTTATTGTTTAATTCATGAGTTAGTCTTTTTTCACAGTCTTGACTTAATGCAGCTCTTTTTCTGCATCTTTTATTTGGTTTAACTGGTGAAAATGCCGGTTATGTGTTTGGCTGCTCAAAGAGTAAAACAGTGTGAAATGAGTGTGTCTCCAGTTTAACTCCACAAAATCTTGGCAGGCAAACTATAACAAACAGAGTTTCCCTAAATACCATTTGACCCAGGTCTGTCCTCTGTGTGTGTGTGTGTGTGTGTGTGTGTGTGTGTGTGTGTGTCCTTCACATTCTGGTATGTCTCTCTTGGGAACCCCGTTATTTAATGTGCCCTCTAAGGAAGCACTAGCCAGCAACATTAGCCACTGAGAATATGATACAGTATGTGTAAGCGCGTGTGTGTGTGTGTGTGTGTGTGTGTGTGTGTGTGTGTGTGTGTGTGTGTTTGAGTGTCTGTTTGCCTTTGTGTATGGGTAATTGTGTATGGGCATGTAGGACATAAACTATTGTTTTAAAAAAACGGTTTAAGAGAGCAAGATGAAAGAAAAATTGAAATAAATTTGGACGGAACCAAAATACAAAGTTAATTTAATTGTGACTGCAAGTTTACTGTAATTAACGCAGGGCACACACTTCAAAGAGATTCTCTACAAACGCTTATATAATGGAGTTCAAGATCTTATTTAAGACTTGCATGCTGCACTTGCTATCTAATTGCAAGTCCTGCAAGGTGTTACAAAGCCAGAGCTTATTTAAGTCAGCACTCCAGAATCTCCTGCTCTATTCAAACAGAGAGAGAGAGAGAGAGAGAGAGAGAGAGAGAGAGAGAGAGATCAGGGCTGGGCGTTGCAGCTGATTGAAAGAGCTCAGATGGGCTCATGTTCCTTTGTGAGTGTGTGTTTCTGTTTATAGCAAATGTGTTATGGAACCCTTTACTGTTTCTTTAGCATCTCTTCTCTCTCCTTTGTTTATATTATCTGTACCTGCATCTGCACATCTGTATCATACTTAGGACTGAGCTACATGGTTGAAATCTCTACTCTCTCTTTCTCATATATATATATATATATATATATATATATGAATAATGTAGTACATGTACTTTATTTCTGTGGTGTACATTGCAGTATTGCATGTACCCAGTTATATGTATGTGTGTGTGTGTGCGCATGCACGTCTGTGTGTGTAAGCAATTTGAACAGGTGTGTTTTCCTGGCCCTTCAGGTGATGAATGGAGGTTTTCCTAATCCTAATAGGCGAGGCTGGTACAGGTGTGTTGGCACAGTGAGTCAGGTACCTCCGGGGGACTGCTCCAATGAGAGGGTGCACCACCATCACCGCCACCGCCATCACACACAGAAATGCACGTGTGCACACCTTTGCGATTCTCAAACCTCTGCAATTACTTTTGTACAGAATGAGAAAGACAAGAAGCTTAGTTTAAATAAAAGAGGGAGACGAGACTGAATGTGCAGTCTTGATGCTTTTTATTGATTGTGATCAGACTTTGTTGTAATGCAACAATTTAAACAAAGAGCTAAAGATAAAGCCCTGTCTCTGAACATTCTCCTTTTTTCTCTTAATTTCCTCCTCCCGCTCTGCCTTTATTCTCTTAATTTGCCTGTTATCTTTATCTGTAATACAAACTACGTCATTCAAGATGACCACACAAAACACAATCCCTTATTCTACTGTCCCTGCACCCTCTGCCCCACACATCAGTCCATCCATTCAAGGAACAATCGCACTTCAATGTCCACCTGCAACTCCGGGTTGTACAAATGCAAATGTACAATGTTGCCTTTTATCTGCATATGTTTTCATTACAGTACATCTCTCCTATTACAGCGCAGCGATCCGTTTTACTGTTCACCCCTTACCCAGGTTGTTATATAACATCACATACCCCCCACCCCCATTCCAATGTGCATGAGGAGCCATCTGTGGACGGAGGAAGGACATAAGGAAGGAAGGAAAGGAAATGGAATTCTGCAATTTGACATGTGACTGATTTAACACAAAACACGATAAACTCTCAATGCACTCTGCAGTGTACTGGATTGATGTCTATACACACTGCCTTGCACTAATGAATATGCATGCATACCATAGACTGTACAGATACATACAGACATTGTAAACATATAAAACTCCTGCCAAGATTGTACCCCAACACCACACCACCGTGCCAAGTACGCTCAAACTGCAACAAACATTACAATTCCTAGTATCATAAATATCTCCTCAGCAACTTCATGCCAATTCTTTGCCTATTACCCATAAAGCTTTGCATAACAAGTTAGGGCATTCTTTCCCATCCCCGCCCCTCCCATATGTGCCTCACCAAAAGAAAACACGGCATGTTTACTGGCCTCACAAGCTTGTGAAATCGCACAAACACAATAACCAATTGAGGCGCGA